TGTAATCAATGGTATAGAATTGACAGTACACGGGATTGAGAATCCTGTGCAGATCATGCCATTTAAAACATGAAAGCAGATTGTCTGCATCTCCAGTGGGAGCCTGCTGCCCTCAGAAGTGAGGCTGCCTCTGGAGAGGGGTCCTGTAGCCCCTTACGCCTGGCTGACTACTTTGCCTTTCCTCGTGGCACATGTGTGATGTTTGCTCTTGGTTTTATTAATTTATATGTATTTTTTTAATTTAACGTGAATACCCTTAAAAAATGTGTCCTGTCTTCCAGATGCAAGTTGATTGACTGTCCACATTCAACTAAATTATCTTGACTATCCTACTGACACAGATTGTTAAAAACCACGGAAAAATAATTTCTACACATTGGGCTTATTGTAATATTAGAATCTAATGTACTGTGTGTTTGTTTTACATATTTTACTTTTGAAATACAAGCAAAAAAAACAAAGTATAAACATATGATACTGTCTTACTACTGACACAGATTTCATACCTCAGAACCTGTAAGAATTGATTCTTTTATTCATCCAACTCATGCTTTAACTGAAGATTATTGATAGTACTCCAGGTTTTTTTTTTCCTTTTAATCATTAAGATTACTACATCTGTAAGTACCCATGTAGTACTTGAAAATCAAGTCTGGCCACAACTGTGCTGCAGAGGACCCTAGTACAGTACAACCCAAGTGCACTTTCTAATGTTTTTGGGTCCTGAAGAATCAAGATAGAAATCAATTTTGTTCCACAAGCAGACTGTTATGTGTAGCTCTAGGAGCCTTCATTTCTCCCTCACAGAGCTGAGTGTCTATTTGCACCTCAGCAATTCTGCTCTTCTAAACTTGGGGAAGTTTTGTTTTTCTGGAATGGTACATGTCTTCCAGGTATCTTTTGAACTGGCAATTATCTATTTTTTTTAAGTCAATCTGGTCTAATAACACTGGCTCATTCAAAGCCACACTCTTTCTAGTCCAACATTACCGCAAGTAATCAAAGGTGTTTATAAATAAGTTAGGCATTAATGCTCCGATTCTGTGCAAACGCTTCAGATTAAAACAGCTGCATTGAAAACAGAGGCACTCCCTTCACCCCTCCACCTAAAGGTGTATTTAAATTGTCTTGTGGGATTAACTTATTTAGAGATGGTATAATTTAAAATAGGTGATATTTAAGGTAGCGTCAGCTAGCATTTAAGAAAATCACTTTTTCTAAACGTCATACTTTTTTTAAAAGAAATCTGATCTTGTTAGAAAACCAACTTTATTTTTTCCTCATTTTAGTTTCAGTTTTGCTAGTTTGATAGTTATCTCGATAGCAAAAGCAATAGACAGCTTCCCCATTTCTTCATTAAGTTTTGCATGAACATCATACAGATTAGTTAGGTTTTAGGTCAAGGGCTTACCATACTTCTAGGTCTTTTGCTAGTAAGTTTAAGTTAGAATTAGTGACAGAATTATAGGAATTTTCAAAGATCCTGTATTGAGATTTCTTAAGGGTGCAGACGCTGCACTATTGGTTTTGTTTTTGTACTGGTTAAAACTATACATTCAAAATTGCTATGTCCCTATTTTCTATAATAGTTTGTCTATTTTAAAATAAACTAGTTGTTAAGAGCCTTACTGGTGTGGTATGGTCTCTGTACTAAGTGTTTTCTGTTTATGAGCTTTCTCCTAACATCTCATTCATTCTGATGATCAGAATTACAGAGATGTGCTTTTAGGCCCGTGTGTGTGTGTGTGTGTGTGTGTGTGTGTGTGTGTGTGTTATCACATATTATTTATACATACATATATATTAATTCTGCTCCTTTTTGCCTGTTTTTGTGAAATGAATTTGTTTAAAAAGTTGTGTGTTTCATGATACTCTGTCAGAAACAGTCCAGAAACGGGAGACACTGTGAAGCCTTACAAGCAACTAGCACAGTAGGGCACAAAGAAGGATCCAGAGAGACAGTAGGTGGTTATTTAGCTGCCAGCTGGTGGCTGCAGGCCCTTGTTGACAAGCAGTAAATTCATCCAAACATGAAAATAAATGACAAGAAGGGTCCTTTACAATAGCAGGTTAGTGAGGATTGGGGGCTCCAGAAGGGACTGGGCCTCAGAAGGTGTCTGCACTGCCTCCACTAGACAGGGGTGGAAAAACAGAAAAACAGAACCGCAGGACCAGAACAAAACTGGCCATGGTGGCAAATGCTTGTAAGCACAGCACTCGGAAGCCAGGTCTCAAAGGTATGTATGGGAGGCAGCTTGGGCTACACAGAAAACATAAGTAAGAATTTTAAAGAAGAGGTAGAGAGGAGATAGAGTGACAGACTAGGGAAAATATTTTGCGAATGATACATCTGATAAAGGACTCTTATCCAGAATGTACAAAGAGATCTTAAAGCTCAACGAAAAGAAAACAACTTCATTTTACAATGAGCCGAAGCTTTCCCAGATAGATCACCAAAGAAGCGGCAGATGGCAATTGAGCACACGCAGTGATGCTCCACATCAGACATCATCCAGGAGATGCGAAGGAAGACTGGCAGCACTGCACATCTGTTAGAATGGTCAGAACTTGGACCACCAAGACTCCCAAAGGCTGGTGGCAACAGCTTGGCAGTTTCTTACAAAACTAAATATAACTTGGCCATAAGATCACACAGTCACACTCCTTGTGATTTCTTTACTAAAAGGAGTGAGAACATGCCTACACAAAGTACACACAGTTGTTTGGCCACTTATTCACAGTTGCCAAAACCAAAAGCAATCAAGATGTCTTTCAGTCAGTGAATGGATAAGCTAGAACATCAGAGTGGAGCACTAGTCAGAACTAAACAGAAGCTGTTAAGCCTTGGAGAGACAATGGAGGAATCTGTAGTGCCTACGACTAGACGCCAGTGTGAAAACACTGCATGCTCAGATTGGAAAAGTTGAAACTGTGAAGGCAGAAGAACAGTGTGGGGATGGAGATGGCTCAGCAGTGAAGAGCACTTGTTCTTGCAGAGGACCTGGATGCAGTTCCCTGTACCTACATGGTTCACAGCCATCCAGAACTCTATCTAGTTCCAGGGTTCTGTCCTCAACAGGTATAGGCACATATGTGGTACATCTACAAATATGCAGGGAAAACATTTCTACATGTTAAGTAAATTTTAAAGAGACCAGTGGTTGCCAGGGATTGGGGGAGGAGAAGGGAAATGGGTAGGTAGATTACAGCTATTTCGTGTGCATTGTAACAGTGGAGATGAGCTAGGTGGTTTTTCAACCCACAGGATGTACAACAGCAAGAGCGAAATTTAGAAACTGGCCTTCATGGGGTAAGGTTGTGTAGAGGTTCTCATCAGCTGTAACAAATATACCATTCTGGGGGAGATGCTAAAGTGGCTGACACAAAGGAAAGTTCTGTATCTTCCCAGTTGTTATGTAGAATTATAAAACTGCACAAAATATGTCTTCAAAACAAGTGACTATCCTGTTTGGTTTTCTTCCAACTTGACACATGCTTGAGTTATTTGGGAAGACAGACTTGAAATTGGGAAAATGGCCAAGATTGGAAGATTGGCCTATTGGAAGTCTGTCAGGCATTTTCTTAATGATTGGTGTAGGAGGGCCCAGGCCATTGTGTGAGGTACCACACTGTGGGCAAGTGGTCTTGGGTTGTATAGGCAAGCAGGCTGAGCAGGCCATAGAAAGCAAGGCAGTAGCATGGACGCTACCTCAGAGCGTCCATCGCAAGCTTCTTGCAGTCATGGTGTCACAGCGGTAACAAATGTGATGGCTATTCCTGGCTGTCAGGTTGACTGTATCGGGAACGAACTATAATCCAGAAATGGAGGGCACACCTGTGAGAGATTTTTTGCTTAGTTTGAAGTGGTTGAGTTCACTTCTAGTCTGGACCTTTAAAGTAGACTTTGCTAGATCCTGAGGCGGGAGACACAAGCCTTTAATTTGCATTTGAGGCAGGGAGAAATGCCTTTATTAGGGGCCATAGCTTCTGCTGAAAGTCTACCTAAGGACACAAGCTTTCACCCTTCGCCTGCTTGTCCTCGCCGTGCTGGTACATCATTCCTTCACTGGTACTGGAGTCTACTGATGTGCGATTCTCCTCTGGATGCTGTGAATGGTTTATTACCATTGGTTAATACAAAAGATGCTTTGGCCTATGGCAGGAAAACTAAACTAAATACAGGGAGAAAGAAGGTGGAGTCAGGGATACCATGTCCCTGCCATAGGAGAAAGACACCAGAACCTTACCAGTAGGCTACAGCCTTATGGCAATACATAGATTAATAGAAATGGGTTAATTTAAGATGTAAGAGTTAGTAAGAAGCCTGAACTAACAGGACAAACACTGTTGTAATTAATAGTTTCTGTGTGATTACTTGGGTCTGGGTGGCCGGGAAATGAATAAGTCTTAGTTTACATTCTACTTTGGGATTCCAGCATATATAGAAACCAGCAGAGTCATCCAGCCCTGTGGAATGAGTAACTACTGAGTTCTTGACTTTCTGTTAACAGTGACGGTTAGATTTAGCTGGACTTCAGCCTGTAAGCCATTTTAATAAACCTCTTTTACACATATGTATGTTTGTATATATGTATAAATCTGTGTATGCATATATATATGCATACAATCTGTGTATGCATATATATATATATATATATACACACACACACACACACACAGATTTTATTCAGAAAGTTCTGTGACAAGAAAACCCTGATACAGTAACCTTACCAACAGCCTACAAAGGCAGTTGGGTGGTGATGGCACTTGCCTTTTATCCCAGGCAGAGGCAGGAGGATCTCTGTGAGTTTGAGGCCAGCTTGGTCTATAAGAGCTAGTTCCAGGATAGGCTCCAAAGCTACAGAGAAACTCTGTCTTGAAAAAAAAAAAAAAAAAGAACAAGTAGACCATAAAAGGGATTTTTATATGCCTATGAGACATAAGGTTAATACTTTCGTTTTGTTGTTCAAAAATTTAAAAAGACAATTTGTTCTATCTTCAAGTAAGTACTTTATTATCAAATACATGAGAATAAGACTTCTATTTCCAAAAATGTTTCCTTTATGTAACATATTGAGACTGAAGAATCCAACACTGCATCTTGTCTGGTTTCTCTGGTGCTACAGGGTATGGTCTAAAAACTCTTTCTCCACCGTATTAGTGCTACCCATGAAATGTGTCAGTTCCTTCTCACGTAGTATTTCCTAGTACCAGGTTAAGAAACGTGTCTTATAGTGACATAAAAGCTAGCTACCAAAAAATACAATCTTACAGAGGAAGACCCTCCTTAATATAAAGAAAAGCAAAGGGTTTTATACAATTACATATGGCAGATGATTCCAGAAATAACATTCAGAGTTAATATATCAATAATGCCATATGAGAAATTAATAACTTGGAAAGTAGAAAATTAAAATTAGCCCTTGGGCCTTTGGCAATTTAAATGTTAAGGCCTTTTGCGAATTCTAATAATGCTCTAAATTAGCTACTACTTCTCAGAACTAAGAACTGAAATGCGAATTCAGTTATAGACTTCTAATTTTATTCCTTCACCCAGCCTTCTAGCTGTTCACAGCACACCCACAGGTTGACAGAAAATGACCTAGATGCCTTGTATACACAAGGCACTGTGTTAGAGGCTAAAATATGGGTGTGACAGCATTCCTTGTTTACCTGTGTATCAGCCAGCTGAATAATGAACATTTTCCCAGAAAAGAATGTTTCAGTGTCTCAAAGATATCATTAGTGACTCAAAGGAAGAAATGGTAACTATAATGACATTTTCATTTTTTAAGTGGTACTTTTTTATTTTTCATGTCTTCATTATACTCTTTCTTTACCTAAACTTCTCCCAGGACCTCCTAACTTTAATGCCTGTCCAACTAAATGTTCCTTTTCTCTCAAAAAACAAAACCACCCCCCCCAAAAAAAACCCTCAGAAAAAGATAACCAACCAATCAGAATGACAAAAAAAAATACCAAAACAAAACAACATAAAAGGACCCATGGAATCTAGTTATGCTACTCAGCTACGCCTGAGCATGGAGCCTGCGCCGACACAACAGAGCAAATGCACGTATGAAACCAGAGACTGACAGCATGCACAAGGCCTGCTCCAGCTCAGGACAGACTCCTGGCTGGAGAAGGGGAAGTGGACACAAAGCTCCACCCTAACCAAGAAGCTATTTACAACAAATACCTGCGAGGAGAGGGGGAGTCTCCAGTGGTGTGAGGCCGGGTACATCTTCAGCGTTTGAGTGTGTCACACCTAGTGGAGCCCTCAGCCTTCCACTGTAAACTCCAGGCTAGGCAGATGGAGAAGCCTGACTGCCGACCTTTTTACAGAACGTAAGATTTTGGCCAGATGTAACTCAACACTGTCAATTACAGAAAAGTTGTTTATCAGTGGCCTTTATTTTTTTAATGTTTTATTTATTTATTTTTGCAGGGGTGACATGGAAAGGCTTAAACATCCCTTTCCGTATCAGGGATCAGTTCTTAAAGGCTCCAACTCTGCTGGCTTTGCTGATGAAGTTCTTCAGAAGATCATGGTCCATTTCTGCAAATCCTGAAGTCTGTGTTACTACAGTCAGATGATTTATACAAAATCTGAAGCAGAACTCTTCTAAATCCTGGAACAGCAACAGTTTAATGAATTTGTATCCCCAGTGTAAGGCACCAAGGCAAGATACTTCCTCTCAGAAAAAGGATTTGACAGCCAGTAGGAGGGGATTATTAGCAGAGCAGTACAGTTATAGCAACTATATTGCTACAATTAGTTTGTGTTTCGAAAGTGTAATTAACAGAAAAGTACGGTGGCCAGGGCCAGCATCTAGCCTTTCCTTCAGAGAGAAGTATCCAGGCATAGATACCTTTCCTGGCAACAGTGCATGTCAGGCATTCATTCCCCTCTTCATATTTGTTAAAAGCATTGTGCTCCTGGCGTTTTCAAATGCTTCTGCCTGTGAAGAGTTTGTGGGAAAGGGAGACACGAAGACAACTGACCACGCCAGGAACCCAGTCATTAACTGTTTCTCTGCATGACAGCAGATGCGATGGGCACACTTCATCACATTACACATTCAGTAAACTTAACCGGGCAGAATCTAAGCAGCAGACTGTGTGCCTGGCATATGTGAGGCTCTGGGTTCAATCTTCAGAACTAAAATTATATATATTTACATATATTCAGTATAAATATGTGTGCTTAAATTTATATAAAATCAGTGCTGAGGAATGAGCTCAAAGCCTCGTGCAGATTAGGCTTACTAGGGAAGTGTTCTACACCCAGGTGTGATCTGACCTAGGACAAAGGAGAGGACAAAGGAGACCTGTTCATGTTCTAATTTTAAACTTGTGTATCTGTGTTGCTGAAGCTATTTTATAAAATACAAAGCTCCTAACGGTTACCAAGATATTATATATGTACATTGCCCACTATAGTCTTTTTTCTAAAAACATAGAAACTCTAGCAAATACTGAAGATGAACGCAGACTGAGATTATCAGCAACAGAAAACACTGGCAGCCATGCCAACATGCACACAAACCCACAAGCCATTTCCCTTGTAAGAGAGGAAACCAGCTACACAAAGGGAAGTGCAATCACTCCGTCCCACAACAGACTGGCAGGCTGCTGGAGTCCCATGTGAGCACGCGAGGACAAACTGAAATAGGCACGTACCCACACGACAACAAAGATGTGCTGTCTCTATGGGAACCAAATACCTCGAGAGCCACTCAATAGCGGGCAGCACGGGAGATCAAACAAGACAGGGCACCTCAGGCTGAGCCTACAGAATGACAGAGGGATGCCTGCCCACGTCAGTACTGATGCTGTCTGTGGAAGTGGGCAGCTGAGCATGCCCATGTCTTAGAGACCCAGACGGTGTCAGGAGAGTTGCTAATTACCAGGAAAGCAAAATGACCCTCAGAAACTACCACTTAGATTCATCTTCCTTTACTTTTTGGACTGGGAACTTCCTATAATTATTTTAAGAATAGGACTCAGAAAGAGTTCTTGAGATTCAATAAACTTATCAGAGAGTTCTGTCTCTTTATAAGACAAGTCCTTTATTATCTTCCAAACACTTTCTCTATTTAAATGCTACTGCTTTACACAGCCTTGTCTTAACAAGGGCCCTTAGTCCTTCCAGGCAAATACAGACGCCATGATTCCCTGTTCACTCTTCTCCCACAAGACCGATACTTTGTCCAAGTACTTCCTCTTTCTCATTCTCAGTGAACATGACTTCCAGCTTTCCTCAGAAGAGGCTCCATAAAGCCCTGCCCCTCAAATCTCCTTACCTCCTGCTGAATACCTGTGGACACGCCCGTTTTGGGGTACCCTACTGTCTGGTCATGACAGAAATAAGGTCTGCCTCCTCGCTCTATCATCAGGCCACACTGCCTGCCTTCAAGGACCTGCTAAAGCAACTGTCCCCGTTAGCCTGTTTTTCAGTGTATTGTTCCCCTTTTTACACAAACATGCTTTGATTTATCTCAACTGGCACTCCCATCTGTGCCCCATCAAATCTTAGAAAATCACCAGGAAACGCTGTCTCTGGATCCCCAGTCCCTCTGCTTCCATTCTACTCAGGCCTTCCTGGGGGGATGTACTGCAGCACTCCTATCACACTGGCAGAGGTGAGCATGCCCCTCGGCTCACTAGGGCTACCTAAAACTCACGTCTTTCCTAGCATCCAGAGTATCACTTCCTTAACCATGCGGACTGACTTGTATATTTCTAAGTATGTGAAATTTCGCTTTTCACTCAATATTAAACTTAAAAAGTACTCATATGGAATGGCTTTACCCTGGTACTGTTTCCCTGTACTATCCTTTGCTGGTGTCCCCCTATCTAAATCTTAACCTTTGACACTGAATGCCCAAGACTTGCTTGTCTGTCTCATAATACATCTGCTCACAGCTCTCAGTTCTGGGTCTAACTCTAGACTGGGCTACTCCTTTCTCAGGGTCTTTCCTGATGTTTCATAGATCTTTGAAACCAGATTTCCAAGCACTTCTCCTAAAATGCTGCTCTTATCTATCCTACCCAGCTTGGTGGACATGATTCCTCAACTGTCCTTCCAGGTTCCCACTCCACATGAACAAATCTTTACTGCCTCTAATTCAACCACTTTTCATCACTCCTATAGCCAATGACTCGGGCGAGTCTACCCTTACCACTTGCTGGAGACATGGCCTCCTCACTGAGCATTTCCTACCACCGCCATTCCAAGAGGATGCGGTTGAGTATCTTTTGTTTTTATTTAAATACTGAATGAACAATGAAACATCAAGTATTTAGAAATATATACAAGTCAGGCTCAAGCCTATTCTTCAAGACACTGAGGAGCCCGAGGATTTAACGCCCAGAACCACCAAAAAAGTTTTTAATAGAAAGGAAAGGAAAGAAGATCAAGCTCTGACCGGGGGTGGGGGTGGGAGGGGTAGGGATGGCAGCCATGCCCCGTGACAGAGGACAGTTGTAATGTCTGCTCTACACATCGCTTCCTCCCTCAGACTTAGAATTTCCTACATAAGCATGATACTGTTTACAAAAAAGGAAAAAGGCATTCTCTTTTACCAGTCTTTGTGTTTTAAATCAGGAGAGGATATCCTTACACCCAGAGGAAACTGACTCCAACAAGTTATAGCCTGTTTCCTACAGATTCAGCTCTTCCTTTCTTTATCATGACAATACAGTCAGTGGAGAAAGTTCAGGAAAAGGGCAAGCAGGAGGAAATAAAAACTGCATCTAATCTCCCGATGCAGGTCTAAGCACTTTAATGACAGAGTCATCTCCTGGCTCCTCCAGGTATACGTACATTTTTCTGGTCTTTGGTCCAGTTTCCCCCCAAATTGCCCATGTTTTCTTTTCCTTTTTTACTGTGAAATACTTGCTTTATTGTATGTTATAAAAATACTTTTTCAACATATCATTTACTTAGGAATTTATTTGTGTGTGTGTGTGTGTGTGTGTGTGCTTGTACACAGTGCACATCACAGCACACATATGGAGGTCAGAGGGCAACTTGGAGTCAGTTCTCTGATAGCATCATGTGGGTTGTGGGGACTGAACTCACACTGCTCGGCCTGGCAGCAAGCTCCTTTACCTGAAGTCATTTCACACTTGAGGCATACAGATTTTAATCGCTGGGAGTCAGGTCCACCAGTCTTTTGTGTTACTTCCTTTGATGTGACTGAGTTACATTTTTATACCACACACGTTTTCTGGTACTTTTGTTTACTTTCGTATGCTCCATTTTCATCTCCCTAGAGCTTATTTTAAGGCACGGTGGTGACACATAACTTGTGACTCTGTGGTGCTTGTCGTACCTGAGCATCGTACTTCACAGCAGCGGAGAGCAGAGCGATCGCATTCTCCTCACAGATCCCCTGCTTGATGGTCTGCTGGCAGAGCTTTTTCAGCCGAGTCTCGCTGTAAAATGTGGCCAGATCTAGCAATCCTGAGGAAAAGGAGAATTTATTGTGCACTCTGAGCACCTGACCTCAACCCCGGTGTTCAAAGGGATGTGAACACTTGAGCTAGCTCTCTGCAGCACTAACTGGTCACGTGGACAGTGCAGCCTCCTAAGAAGGCAGCTGAGCTGAGCTTCCAGGAAAAAGCTACTGAAAAACAGGAGTAACACAAGAATGGCGTGAATGGCTTTCCTAGAAACAAAACAAGATTGTGTTTCTTTTAACTACCCTCTCCTGCACAGAACCTTCTCAGGCCACAGCCATCAGCACACATGCTGGCTGCCACAGAACCAGAGAGCAGAGGCAGGCTGGGGTTCCGGTGTCAGGGACACACTCACTGCCCATGCTCAGTTCCTGCACCAGGTAACAGGAGTCCCCTGTCGTCTGTGTCCTGCAGCCATCCCACGCCGAATCCTCCCCCACATAAAGTGGCTCGCAGTGCCACATTCAAAGGCTGCTCTAGTTTGCTCTTATTCAACACTCACTGAGTTTAATGAGGGTGACAAGCTCTGGCCCTGGGCACCCTGTCGCTTGCTGTTTTTCTTTTCTTTAATTAGTGACTCTTACATTCTCTCTGCTGGGCTATTTTCCCTGTGCTGACCTGGGTTCATCCCACACATACAGATTCATTTATTTCTCCAAATGAGCTTTAGCCTGGAGATGCCGTTTCCTTCAGTGGTGTCATCTCCTTTAAATAATTCAGTGGACACCGGTGTGTATGTGTGCATGTGCGTGTGTGTTATTGACCTCTTACTGGATCTACTTACTCAACCTTCATTACAGCAGCAACAAGGGAAGCTTGTGTTCAGGGCCTGAGAGTGTAGCCCAGCTGTATGAGAGCAAAGCCAAGTGTTCCATCTGAGCACCACAGAGAAAACCTTTGGTTCAACATCAGCAGAAGAGCTCCTACAAGTGGCCACCATATCTTTCTTCTGGGTTGGAAAGAAGCCTGCCTTTCTAATTACTCAACATTTTGCCAATTTCTTGGTAATGTCTGTGGTGATTACCTACTGCCTCCTCGGGAGATAGGCTGATGTTATCTGTATATAGGTATTCCAGGAAAGCTCGGAACACCGGATATGAAAATTCACTCATTTCTACAATATCATCTTCACTGTCTTCTAATGAAGAACGAAAATGCTCACACCTGAAAAAAGAAAGAAAGATCATATCGAAGGTTCTGGCCTGGAGTCAAAGAGCTGCTTGAAGACTTTCTATTGACACTGTCTACCTTCCTATTTGCTAGTTAGGGCCTATCCTTCCAAGCCTGGTCCCAGGGTGATAATCTTAGAAGGTAGTAGGACCTTTCAGACATAGGGCGACCTACTGTGAGGTCTTCAGTCATTGGGATTTGTGGAACCCAAGCTCCTTTCTGACCCCTGCCTTGTGATGTTCGCAATGCTCTTCCACCAAGCACTTGCTACCATGATACGCTGCCTTTGAAGAGGCCCCAAACAATGGAGCAAACCCATCGTAGACCGAAACCTCCGAATCAAACCTGAGCCAGGGTAAGCGTTCAAGATGAAGTAACAGCTCAGCAGTGCCAAGCACTAAGTAAGTAAATAACCTTTGAGAGCTAATCTTCTCGGCATTTTAGTATAGCTGCAGGACACTGCCGAAAACATCTTTGCCTTGGCTCCTTGTTTGCTTCCCTGGCCTGAAGTTTTCAATTGCTTACTCAGCAAGACTGTATGGGCAGCCCAGGGAGCTGTCTCTACAACTAAACTGGGGGACACATGGCAGGGACCTCTGGTGTCTTTCTCAGACCATCTTTACTGATCAGTATTGTCTTAATAACGGAATAATTTTGTTTCTTTACTCCATTCAGTCTGAATTACATCCCCTAAAAGTTCCTGTGTTGATGATGTAACCTCTGCTAACTTACAATGTGACCTTATTTGGAGACAGGCTCTCTACAGAAGTCATCAAGGTAAGTCAAATCACTATGGTGGGTTCCAATGCAATCAGACAAAGGGGAGATTTAGACACAGGCAGACAGAGAATGCCACATGGCTTGTATCAAAAAGACAAAGACTGCCATGACCCAAAGCTCAAGTGGAGACCTGGGTTCTCAGCCTCAGAGAAACAAACAAACAAAAAAACCACCCTGCTACTGTGATAGAGCACCTTGCTATGGTCTAGGCCATGTGTGTGGACATGCTCTGTCACATACGCTGAGCCCCACTTCCTTCATGAAAGTACATGCTCCGTGGTGAGAATGGGAACCGGAGACTGAAACACCATATTGGGTTTGTGAGTCATTGAAAGAGGATTAAATATCTTTTACACAGTGACAACAAAATCCCAAATCATTATACAATGAGGAAAAAGCCAGACAGAACACAAGAAATGCCATATAATTACATATATACGAGCTTCTAGAAAATGCTAAGTAGATACAATGAGAAAAAAATCAGTGCCTGCTCAAGATGGAGCTGTGGGGTCTTTGACAGCATTTTTCTATATCTGAAGGTAAAGTGGTGGCTTCCCAGACTACGGGCACGGGACAAAGATGAGCGGATATCATTCAGTGCTCAGAATTAAACATAATAAATGTGATTTAAAAGTCTTTGTGTTGGCATCACCCAGGCCTCCGTGGTCTGCGAAAGCCTTGCCCCATCATCACTTCTGTTTGCTGATTTTACAGCACCTGAAAGCTAACCCTGAGCAAGGAAGGTTGCCATGGCTACACTCAGGGATGCATTCCAGCCCAGGCAGTAAAGTAAATCTGAGCACTTGGCCCTACTCCAGGGACTGAAGCCCCAGCTAGGGCTTTCTAATGTGGCCTGCTCCTGAACACAGACTCAGTATTGGTGGCCCACCTTATCCTCCATATATCTTGTCCCACTGGCCCCACCACGCTGTGTGTTTTAAGGGCAATTACAGCCTTAACAGAGCTGCCTCCTAACTACTTAAGTGCCTGGCCCAGTCCCTTGGACAGCTGAAACGACTGATAAGTGAATTAATTTCAATTCTCAAAGGAGACAAGCTCTTACTAATTATTTTAAACATTTCGGGTGTGTGTGCCAATGCATGCAGAGGCCATCAGTGGGAGACTGCTTTCTGTCACCATGCAAGACCCAGAGAGGGAATTTAGGTCATCAGATTTGCTGGGTAACAAGCACCATCATCCACAGAGCCAGTGTGCTGGCCCCTCTTACCTAATTTTGAGAAGGACTTTGTGAGCATAAATGTATTTTCCATCAACCAGAAACTTGAGGTCTGCAGTGTCAGGGTTGTCAAATTCCCTCTTCAGTGACTCAGCCACAGTGAGGTGGTCATCAGGTTCTAGGAGAGCAACACAGGACTTCCAGGTTCATCCACAGACAGCTGGACATGAAAGCAAGGAGACCCTGCTCTCTGGGCACTCAGGAAATGTTTACTCCCCCAAACAACTGACCAGCTACACAAGGCTTTTACCCCTGAATACAGATTCACATCTCTGAACGTTCATTGTAAATTTGGCAAAGTCAAAACTGTTTCCAACTCTTTCACTAACTGTATAAGATTTTAGAATTTCTGAATGTTTAGAATGTTTCTAGCTAAAAATAAAAGATGCAGTTTCCAGTAAAAAGCAATCAAATCAAATCACCTTTAATTAGTGTCGGCGTTGGTTCCCAGGAGTTTTAGTTCCCTTCCCCAGGGGCCCACAGAAAGGAAGTGCATAGATCCTGCACCCAGTGAGGTCCACCAGTCCTCTTCCTAATTCTCAGGACATGCCCCAAAAGGACAAGGACGAGCTTACCCACGGAGAGAAGGCGCCAGGTGACGGCGGGGGTGGCAAAGCAGGCGAACACATCGTCGGTGCAGTAGAAGTGGGTGAGGTGGGGAAGGGTCACCGACTGGCCCCGGCACTGGCCCCACATGTACACGTGCCCACCCTGGGTCTTGGCGGCAGATGTGTGGGCAGAGTGACAGGCTGCGATCTCTATGATCCTAAGTTCACAAGCAAACACCACAGGGATACCATAAGCAGGAGGGAAAGGAGCTGCCTCTCCTCCCCCTGGGTGCACCCGACTCAGTGTAGTAAACTAACTAGCTGAACAAATGGAGCAAGACCGGGACACCTCGCTTCCTAAATGTTCAGCCGCCAAATACTGGAGCCATACCTCAATGGCATTTATAACCCATGAGGAGTGGTTACCAACAGGCCTAAAAATACCATCCTGCTTTGAGTTTAGAGTGTGATGCTTTACGCTTTAGAACATTACTAACTAGATAATGAACATGGATCATCTAACCTGGGTCAATAAAGAAAACTCAGGCTGGGTAGGATTCAGCACATAGCGCTAGCTCGGCAGGAGAGCTGCCCAGCAACCAAACCTTCAGTCACTTGAAAGGAAGAGGGCTGAATGCCACGCTGGCTTCTACTCCACACAATAAACTCTGCAACTTTTTTTTTGGCAGAGATCAACCCTGAGTCTTCTGCATGCTAAAAGGATGTCCTATAATGAAAGAATCTGGGGCCTGGTGCATGCATACTAAGGAGGATGCCCTACACTGAATGACCCCTGACTCCGAGAGTCTTGGTTTCATCTAGTGTGAGAATTAAATGATAAACAGTATATGCTGGCAATCCGTACAATAAGAAGGGCCTCTCTACTGCTGCTGCCAGAAAAGGCCAAAATCAGAACTTCTTCGGCAACCTTAATTAGCTCTCTTTTCACTTCGACAACTGGGCAATCACACTCCACAAAATAACGGTCCCGTGGGCTGAGCCAAAAAAGGCTGTAAACAGAAGAGGTGACGGAAGTAAGCAGAAACAGTTGATCATAAGCGACAGTCGTCAGTTCAGCTGTTTTCCCCGGCAAAACCACAGGGAAATGAGTGCCTGGGTGACATCAAGTGACCCTTTTTCGTAAGCACTAAAACAGGGAACTTCAGAGTCACGCAATTGCAATGTGCCTCTTTGGGAGATTTGGCTATTTTTATATTTAATTCTGATCCCTTAGGTTAGATAAATAGTTTATTTTCAGTTTCATGCCTGAAATTTTAGCATAAGAGATTCCATTTTGACTTTTAGCTTTGGACAGGGTTTGTGCAGGACAAAGCAACGACCTCTGGTCGTTTAGTTAAAACTATCACCATGCAGCTTTCAATGAAAATGTCTCATGTAGAGGGACGGTACATTTGTGCTGGCATGGCAGACCCTGCCTAGTCTCTTCTAATATTTGCACGGTTGTGTAAGCAACTCACTTCCATATCTCGTGCTCTGCAGAACAGCCTTGCACAATGGGGAAAAGGTCCACATGATCTGGCTTTCTAGTAAGTATACATGTTTTTAACAGATAGTCAGCCAGTGCAATTCACCTAGAAGATAAATGTGTCCGTTGCCCCCATCAATTTCCTGGCAGTCTTCCCACCTCACAGAAGACACAAGGGCCTCAATGCCAGTCATCCAGAGCATCCCGGTTTGTGCTTTGTGCACAGCACTAGCTCCGGGGCAACAGTAGTTTGTATCAGCCAAATCATTTAAAGTCTTATAATCAATTGTACTACCTTTAAGGAAAAAAATTAAGATGGAGAGAGTAAAGTGCATAACTCAGAGAGGGCACAGGCTGCAAAGCAGACACTGTCTTAGCTGCACTGTTCAGGAGAGATGAAGCCAGTCCTCTGCCCTCCCCCTCCCCCCGGCAAAGAGTAGGCCATCTAGAGCAGCTTCTTCCGTGACTAAGATCATTTTAACAGCTGCTGCCTGCAGGAGTTACAGAGGCCGACCGTGGAGGCTCGCCATCCATATGGAGAGAAGCTGCAGACCAGAGTATGGCTGTCCGCCAGCTCTGCTGGGTAAGAGCAGATTTGAGAGCTACCGAGTCCAGCAGGCTGTGAATTTGTCACAGGAACACAGAGGCTGTGAGTCAGAGACAAACCTATAGCCAAACAGGAGGCAGAAGCAGGCATAGCAGGGCAGGTGGGAGGCATAGACAGGAGTATGTAAGGGAACAGACAAGTCTGTCTGGGGCGCAGTGAGCCGTGGGTTTGCTAGGAGCCATGGTGTCTCTTACAACAAAGGCCTATGAGTTCCATCAGGATGTAAAGTGACAGGGAGTGAGAAAGAGCTCTCAACAGGGAGGCGAGGGAAAGAAGGACAATCTGCACAACAGATTGTGAGGGAGAGAAAGGACAGCCAGGGAGGCTGGATGGAAGGACCCACAGCAGAGTGCCACCACAGCCAAGCCTTGTCACCAAGTAGAATCAGGGTGGCCCTGGGGTATGAGCCCTGAAAACCCCAACCCCATGGCACTGGGAGCTGAAGCAGCACTGTGGCAGGCTCACACATACACACAGCTAAGCAGTTAATAAGTTTTGGGGGTTTTCTTGTGTTTTTTTTTTCCACATAAACATCTTAACCATCAGAAGTAAAGTCACAGCTTTCTCTGAGTCAGAGGAGCATCCATGCCACCTTTCTGTGAGCACCAGTGATCTATTCTTGCTCTCTTCCTCCTGAGGTCAGGCCTAGGCCAGGCTGGTCTTTTTGTGTGTGTGTGTTTACAAGTGTGCAGTTTGATTTTGGTTTGTTGTTTCTTAAGAGACAGAAGATGAAGTTGGGCAGTATGGTGGTTTGGATGTAACTGGTCCTCAGAAGCTCATAGGGCACAGCACTATTAGGAAGTATGGCTTTGTTGGAGTAGGTGTGGCCTTGTTGGAAGAGGCATGTCACTGTGGGGGTGGTCTTTGAGGTCTCATATACGCTCAAGCTACACCTAGTGTCTCAGACCGCTTCCTGTTGCCTGGATGCCACCATGTCCCATGTGATAATGGACTAAACCTCTAAAACTATAAGCCAGCCCCAATTAATGTTCTCCTTTATAAGAGTTGCCATGGCCATGATGTTTCTTCATAGCAACAGAAACCCTAACAAAGACAGGTAGGTATCGAGGTATAGGAGGGAAGAATATAATAAAATGTATCAAATTCTCAAAAAAAAAAAAAAAACAAAACAAAGAAAAAGACAAGAAAAGCAAAGAATTCCTGAGGGAATAGAATGTATTTCAGTGCTACAGCCACCTGCAAGTTTGTACAGAGACCTCAAAAGACAAACAAACAAACAAACAAATAAATAAATATTAAAAATCCTGCTTTTATACCAAGAAACACATTTTGAACCTCAGCTTTTCTGGGCTGACAGGCAACAGTAAAGAGGTGCCAGCTGTGTTAACTAACCTCCATTGGCTAGACCCTGGCACACGGCACACTTACTCTGTAGCCAGCGATGATGGGGGAAATGACTACGAGTTCTTTGCGTATGTGTTTGTGTCACCCAGTGGGATGCCTTACACCACTATATAGCTTAATGGCTGTGAAATACTGGACATGAAAAGGCAGAGTGCAAGAGAAAATACAAATAAAAACAGCAGCAGTGGTCAAAGGCAGAGGTAATTTGTGTTGTGAGCAATGGAGAAAAGGCACCCACAGACAAGACAGACTAGGAATCTGACTCCAGTTCTGTATAAGCCTGTATAGACTACTGAAGACCTTAAGAGACCATGGAATTATCCAAAGTTCAAGGCATGGCTAATTTACCTTACAAGTTAGAATACTGGGCTAAACTTAAGAATAAGGACACTTGTGCCAAACCTTTTTAAAGCTTCCTTTGGTTGTCTGTGCAGAGAATCCAATGTAGGGAGACTTTATTTTTCGTTCACTGAACAGACACCTAACAACCACAGACTCACCCCTGCCCCACCCAAAATTCAATCCCATTCCTAATTAGGCTTTTCTGGAAGGAGCCTCAGAAGAGTCAGAAGAAAGTCATGACCCATGTGTGAGGCTCAGCAACTGGAAAGGGGGGGGGAGGGGGAGGGTGCGGGACAAGTCCTGGCAGATTTGCCACATGCTAGCAACTGAGGCCTGACTGAGCCTGTGCCAGCTCAGAAACTGTCACCTGGAGTTCAAGGCTGGGAAACTGAGACCAGGAAGATCCTTTCAGAATATCCATCCCTGGTCTGTGTGGACAGCAGCAAGGGCCAAAGTGCACAGGAGAAACCCCAGTGTTTACAGCCTAGAGCACTGGGCAGGCAGCTCAGAGCTCTGCTAAGCCATGTGCTCTTCCATCCTTCCCTTCCCTGCTTCCCAGCTTCCTGCTCCCTCCCCCACTTAGTGGCCCACAGTCTGTTCCAGAGGGGGACCCAGGGAAGATGTGACTTTCTCTGGATCAGAGAAAGCAGGGCAATACCAGCTGATAGGGTTGTTATGAGATGCTAAGGTAAGTGTAGAAGCACCACAGGGGGGAGGAGCAGTGAGTCACTCTCCTATGCACATCCCTGTGTCTGACCTTTGGAACTGGGGTTCAGGAAGGAGTGGACATCACTCTGTCTGACCTTCAGAACTGGGGTTCAGCCTGGGCACCGAGATACTGACGATATATTTATGGTTACTTGGCTGTGAGTGACTATTGCTTCTGTTTTCATTGACCTCTTTGGATACTCACAGGATCAACAGGTGACAGAGTTATAGGCATCTATGCGCCAGCTCCTGCCTCCACTTTCCCCATTTAAGGAATCAAAGGTCCTATTTTCTTTTTTTTCTTTCTCTACTTGCTCTGTAAACCAGACTCCTTCAAATTTTTAGATTTTAAAAAAGGCTTTTTCCCCCCAGATATATACAGGTTATATAAAACTAACCATGTTTACACTATGTAGATAAAAATGACAATTTATTAAGAATTCCAATGGGGAAATAAAAGAAGTACCTAAATGTTAGCTAATCTATTTATCCATATATTTAAGTCAAATATGAAAAATACTATCTGGGATACAAACAGGAAGGACATATTAATTTCTATAGTGACAGCATCACTGGCTGGGGAAGTACTGTCATGTCTCTGTGCCGCCACCGAGTCAATAACAGGGAAAGGCAGTAACGTGACTATGTGAGGAACTCAGAGGCTTTCAAAATCATTCAGATTATCTGGAAATTACGGAGGTACACAAAACTGCGTGTACACTTTCTAGCACTTCACTCCACTACACAGCGAGAGTTTGGAAGGGAAAACAGAGATCACCCTGCCCTTCTCACTGCAGATTTGATAAGGAGCTAAGAACTAGCTTCATACTGCACTCAGCGTACTATAGATTTCCTAAGCCACAGAAGACACATCTCAAACATCACCAACTTCCCTTTGAGGATAAAAACAAAAGTCCAGGGAGAGAGCACCGAGGAGACAGCCGCACGCAGAGCGCAGAGCTGCTCCTGACAGCTCAGTTCCTGGAGACTGCACAGAGCAGCCCCGCGGGTGAGAGGAAAGAGGAGCGCCGTTTCCCCAGCAATCCACAGCGCAACTTTTAAAAAGAATGAGCAACCTAGCTAAAGATTACTCTAGTGCTAAGAGAAATTAATTCCCCATAGTTCCATACTAGGAATTCCAAGTGCTGTTAATTACTTAAGACCACGGAGGTGATTTCGAAATGTACACATTACCTGTCCTTTTCCACAACAACTGGGGTAGGATAGGACTGGTTACTTTTATTGCCAGTGCCAAGCTGGCCATATGAATTTGCACCCCAAGCGTACACTTCACCTTCATCTGTTAGTACTAATGTGTGTGCGTAGCCACAGGCAACCTAGAAGGACATAAAAAAAATCTTCTCAGGTCTGCAAATAAAGGGAAATGCTTCACTTTTACAAAGGAGGTTAGGAGCTAGTGAGAGCCAAGGGAAGGCAGATGCCGCCAAAAGCAAACGGTAAATTAGCCAGAGTTCATCTGGGGCCAGCGCAGGCCCAGCGAGCAGCCAGTCGTTAGCTGGCTCAGCCGAGGGCAGTGAGCGCCAGCTGCACTCAGGGTTCTCACAGAACGGGACTAGGAGCCTAGTGTGAGACACAGCCGCTGGATTCTGTCTCCCAGTGCTGAAGTAAAGCATGTTTGATGTGGAAAATGGAGACAAGTGTAAACATAAAAGCTCTCCCTTTCTGGGGGAAAGAGTGTCGAAACAACGTTTCTCTATGTAGCTCTGGCTGTCCCTGAACTCAGATCTGCCTGCCTCTGCCTCCCGAGGGTTGAGATAAAACCATGCACCACTACCAACTCATCAGGAGTTTTTTCCCAACTTATTCAGAATTAGAAATACGCCCTAATGGGGCTGGAGAGATGGCTCAGCAGCTAAGGGCACCGGCTGCTCTTCAGTGGACCCAGGTTCAAGTCCCAGCACCCATATGTCACTCACACCTGTCTGTAATTCCAGTCTTAGGGCTTCTGACAGCCTCACATAGACGTATGTGAAGGCAAAACACCAATGATCATAAAATAAAAACAAAACAACGGAAAAAAAGAACTATGCATGTACAAATTATGAAGTGGTAGTGTATGTACCTATCTTGTATCTTTTTTTAACCCTACATTGCTTTCTCCCTATTATTAAAAAAATCCTTTGTATAGCCAGGCAAAGATTATGCACACCTTTAATCCCAGCACTTGGGAGGCAGAGGCTGGAGGACCTCAGTGAGTTAGAGGCCAGCCTGGTCTACAAAGTGAGTTCCAGGACAGCCAGGACTGTAAGCTGGGTGTGGCAGCACACACGCGAACTCCACAGTCAGGAGGTTGTGGCTACAGGAAGAGGACCACAGTACAGTCTGAGCCAACAGTGAGACTGTCTCAAGAACAGCATCATCAGTCTCATACTGATGGGCAGAACCCAGCACCTGTGCACTTACCATTAGATTATCAAATTATACAATGCCTACCATTTCTATTAAACTTATTTTTCTTACATTTTAAACCATTTTTTGTTTATTCTTACCAAGAATTCCTTTGTTAAAATTATAACTATTAATGCATATTAATTGTACATACTAAGGGGTTTCACTGTGACTTAACTAATTTTATATAAGACTTTCTCATTGGTCTCTTAGGAGAATTCTCTAAGAGGAGAATTAGAGATAAAATGGCATTTAGATTTTTAAAGCTGTTGGCATATGCGCTCTTAAAGATTCTTCAGGAAAGGATGTGCAACTTACATTCTCAGTACAATTCAAAAAATAACATAGAAACTGCATCTCTACAGACAGCTATACCTTAGTTCAGGGCAAAGAGGGCTTTAACCTTTACTGAAGGGGAAACATCAAACCAGCTGAACTTTCCATGTATATAAGAAAACCAGGACCTAGTGCACTGCACACAGACTGCCCGGAGACGTACCCGCTGGACACGAATGCCTTGCAGGGCTGCCACTCTACAGGGGGTTGGCTGGTTGCCACTGCTGCCCAGGCCTAGCTGTCCATTCCCATTGTAACCCCAGACATAGACCTGGGAAAAGATAAGAGACGTAGCAACTCAGTTCTGCCGTTGAGAAGCAGCCGTGCTCAGATGATACTAAGGAGGCAAAGAAACTTTTTAAACAAAGGATGAAGTAACTTTCCTACCTCTCCAGTGTCCACAACGGCCATGGAGCACATCTGCCCACATGCTATGTTCATAACGACTTTATTCTGCAAACATCCTGTGACCCTTCGAGGAATGGGCTGATTAGCGGTTGATCCAGATCCTACCTGCCCAGAGTTATTATAACCCCAGGCAAATACCTATGTGAAAAAAAGACAGATAAACAAAACACATGATGCATAAGGTGTCTCAACTGGATACTGAGATACACTCAGGGCATCTCACTGCCCTCTCAAAGAGCCTCATCACTGGTCTGTCTCACAATACAGACAGAGAAGGCATTTTATAACATTTGTGTTAGCTCTACAAAGAGTAACAATATAATATAATACAAAGACCAACTTCACCTCAGCCATATTTTTCAACATTTGGGGACTTTTTTATTTGCAAATATTATCTTTGTTATAGCAATATAAAAGTAATAATGGATCCTTTTAAGATTTGTAGTGACTGAAGTCCTTACTACATACAGCATATATATATCATACATATAATACATAATATCTATGATATATATCATATAACCATCATGATAAGTTGCTCTCAAGACTAAGGCTGAGTTTGAGGGGTGGTTATTTTAAATATCCCTGTTTAGCTCATCATAACTTCTCTGGCTAGTTTTTGACAATCTGTCACAAGCTAGATGTGATGGTTATGCTTAGTTGTCAACTTGACTACATACAGAATTAATTAAGACCCAATTGTTAATGCCCAAATGTCGGGCATTTGTGAGTTTTTTTCTTAATTAAATCATCTGAAGTGGGAAGGCCCACTTTTAATGTGGATCGTTGAGGTGGGAGATCCACCTCTCACCTGGGCCACACCCTCTTTCTGGAAGCGTGTAGAAAGGTCATGGGAGAAGGAAGCTTGCTCTTTTTACGTGCTTGCTCTTGCCTCGCTAGCAAGTCTATTCTTTCACTGGCATTAGAATCTACTTCTTCAGGGCTCTGGTGTACACTGAAGACCAGCTGAGACATTGAGTCTTGTGGACAGAAAAAGTCCTGTTTCTTGAACCTTCTTTTGGTACGCAGCCATTATTGTACCAGCTGGACCTCAGCCCATAAGCTATTCTAATAAATTCCATATATGTATCTTATCTGTCTATATTTATATAGACAGATTTTATCTATATATAAATCCCATATCTTATCATTCAGGTATTTTCTTGATTAATGATTGATATGGCATGGCCCAGCCCACTGGCAATAGTGCCACCTCTCCACTGGTGGTCCTGGGAGGTATAAGAAAGCAGGTTGAACAAGGCATGGGGAGCAAGCTGGTAAGTAAAGTTCCTCCACGGCCTCTGCTTCAGTTTCTGCTTCCAGACTCCTGAGTTCCTACCTGACTTCCCTGGATGATGGACTATATCCAAGGCAAATAAATCCTTTCTTCCCCAAGTAGCTTTTGATCATGATGCTTTGTCACAGCAATACAAAGCAAACTCAATGTTAATGTCTAGCCATATTTTAGGGGGCAGTTAAAGGAATCTATAGAACACATTGAAACCAAAATCAGTGAGTTTATGCTGATTTTCCTCACCTCTCCATCAGATGTTAGGACCAAAGAGTGATAAGACCCACAGGCAACCTCAATGACTTGTTTTTTTGACAAGTTAGTAGAGATATGGCAGGGCAGTAAACCATGAGTCGCTGTCCCATTGCCCAGCTGGCTATATGCATTGTGACCCCAGGTAAAGACTTCTCCGTCTGAAAACAGAAGAAAGATGGTCAGCCGTCACAACACACACCTCTACAAGAGACCATAGCACACGCCTCGGTGCCCACACATGGGAACCAGTCCTCAGCTGCAAAGGTTGCTCGACTTCCCGCTTCCAAATTCACTTCATGAGAGCGTCTATTCGGAAACACAAACTGCCTTCTACGTCAAAGCAACACTTGGAATTTAAATCTATGAGGTTAAAGAATAGTTAGAAGAGAGTTTCCAAATTAAAAAAAAGAAAACTAAGAGAAAACAGGACATTTGCTGGGCAATGGTGGCACAAGCCTCCAGCACTCGGGAGGCAGAGGCAGGCGGATCTCGTGAGTTCGAGGCCAGCCTGGTCTACAAGAGCTAGTTACAGGCTCCAAAGCTACAGAGAAATCCTGTCTCGAAAAACAAAAAACAAAAAACAAAAAACAAAAAAAAAAAAAAAAGGAAACAGGACATTCAAAGTCAAGAGAATAAGATGTTAAGTCTTAACTTTTCTGGGTCTTCATTTCTTTAGAGAAAGATGACCAAATTAGTTTTAAAATTGATTATATTACTTGTAAAATTATAAATATTTAGAACATATGTGCAATTTTATGGATAGCAAAGTGTATATGCACAAAACATAGCATGTTTCCCCAAAAGCCCTACCCATATGCACCTTACATGTGAGAAGTTTGTTTTCTGATTCTGCACTTTGAATAAAGGAATCTCACGTGTGTCCTGTCATCTGTGCTTTCTACCACACTGCCTAGGTTATATTATGAATGACTTTATTTGATTGTCTGGTTTAATTTTCTTTTGTGGTATATAAATTGCTATAGAACCTATCCAATGAATGTTAATTCAGTAATTCAATTGTTCACTGAGTCTTTTCTAAATCTCTCTGATGTCTGTAGACCTTTTATCCTCTGTAGATATTTTGCTTTCTGTAATTCTTGTCTGATATTCTAACAGCTCATGTTTAATAATCACCCTGTCTGCCACTTCTACCGGGTCTCGCACATCAGATCCTAGAGGAGGATGTTATTTGTGACTGAGCTCTTGGTTCTGCATCAGCCAGCGCGGGTGCTCACTTGTGCTCGCTTTCAGCCAGCAAGGCTACATTGTTATCTGACCTGAGAAACCAAGAGGCGGAGAGTGTCAAGAGCCAAGTTCCTAAACAGGACAGCCTCAGCCTGCCAATCCCCCGGCTCTCCTGATCTGTAATCCTTCTCTTCCAGAGTACAGACTTTAGCCTCAGCTGGGCAGCCGGGTGCTCTAAAGCAGGACAGCTTACAGTCTTCTCCAGCTCATTCCACCATTCTCTTGGCCTCTCCTAACCTGACTGCTAAGCCATCCCTCTAGCCCCAGATTGTAGCTATTTTTTAATGAAGAAATGGTCTGAATAATCTTTCCTGTTACTGGAAGCCCCCACCCAAATGCCCAGAACTTAAACCTGAAAGGCTCAGTTTAATTCTAAGGCTGTGTAATTCTGAGTTCATGAAGTAGTCAAGAGAACGTTTTTCTCTATACTATTAGAGCAAACTTCTATCAGTCACTACTCAATTTCAGAATGACACAATGCTTAGGGTGATAGAGGAACCAACATTTGCTCTCTCAATTTGCAGGCCAGGAATCTAAGATCAAAGTGTAGGCTTCCTGCGATCCAAAGCAAGCAGAGTTCTCACACTTACTGAATGGGGAATGGAAGGGCTGGTGTGATGGGGGAGAGTCTTCTGGCTTGTGTTAATTTCACTGGTTAAATAGACTTCCTTGGCCCTTTAATAGGACATAAAATTAGGTAGGCAGAGTAAACAGAACAGAATGCTGGGAGAAAGAAGCTGAGTCAAGGAGTTGCCATGATTCTCCTACCGGACACAGACGCAGGTTAAGATCTTCCCTGGTAAGACACCTCATGGTGTTACAGGGATATTAGAAATGGGTTAGATCGATATGTAAGAGCTAGCCAATAAGAGGCTGGAACTAATGGGCCAGGCAGTGTTTAAAAGAATACAGTTTCCGTGTAATTATTTAGGGGCATAAGCTAGCCATGTGGGCAGCCGGGGTGCTGGGGAAGCAGCCCCGCCGCTCCTACTACAACACTGGTGTATTGTCTTCCATCCACTTAGTCCGCCCTCCCCCGTGTTAAACTACCGTACTCTGCTATTCAAGTACAGTCATACATTGTGCTGCCCAGTGCATGGCCAAGCCCACAGGGCAGGCAGCTCTCAGTCAGAAAGTCTGCTCTCAATGGCAGGCAGCCTGGTCTTATTTCTTAACAAATAAGCAATGCCCCAAACCTAGCCACTGAATTCTGATTACCTGTTGTTGCAAGGACGATGTGTGGGCCACTCCCGTAGCTGAGGCTGGCTATCTTTTTGCCAGTTAAAGAATCCAGTCTCTGGGGCTCAAGGGTGCTCTGAATGTCACCTACCCCCAAACAGCCACTGCAGTTTGTGCCAAGCACAAAAATCTGTGGAAAAAACACTCAGTTCAAGGAAGCAAATTATGAAATGTCTGTAAGTTACCTCAAGCAGACTTCCTGAAGCAAACTGCCTTCTTAGAAAATAAATTAAAATTGCCTTTTCAGCCAGGTGGTGGGGATGCATGCTTTTAATCCCAGCACTTGGGAGGCAAAGGCAGGTGGATCTCTGAGTTCAAGGTCAGCCTGATATACAAAGTAAGTTCCAGGACAGCCAGGTCTAGAGACACCCTGTCTCTAGACCAACAAAAGTAAAAAATTGACTTTCCACACTTCTGTTTAAAAGCTTCCTTCTTAAGCCGGGCGGTGGTGGCACACGCCTTTAATCCCAGCACTCGGGAGGCAGAGGCAGGCGGATCTCTGGGAGTTTGAGGCCAGCCTGGTCTACAAGAGCTAGTTCCAGGACAGGAACCAAAAGCTACGGAGAAACCCTGTTTCGAAAAATCAAAAAAAAAAAAAAAAAAAAAAAAGCGTCCTTCTTTCCTTCCCCCAAGGTCATCAACTTATAAACCCATTCCTAAAACTATGGGTAGTTAGTTGAATGTTTTCCTCAGAATTACCTCGTCGTTGACTGTGGTGTATAAAACTTCATTGCCAGCACTGCCGAAGACACAGGCCTGACGAATCAACTGCAGCTCTTCCTCAGAACAAAGGGAAAAGATTGGCCACTTCCCCACATCCAACATCTTCAGGGATGACAGGGTAGCCTGGACTGGCTGAAAGGAACAAGGATTATGTACTGAGACGTCCAGTTAAACAAACAAACATTCTTGGGCTCTTATTTCTGCAGAGTAGAGTTAAACTGGCTTGAGGAGGAATAACCCACATGCGGTGGTGTCCGTCACTGAGAGCCGTTCACTCGCTGCACGACTGCTCATAGCCCGCTCTCCCATACAGGGTGCTGGTGGCCTGGGCAAAAACAGATCTCAAAGACACCCAACTCATCCAAGTCTGGACCTTGGCCGGCTGAATGTTAGCAACACATTAAATATTGGCTATGGTTTAAATGTAGCTGTAGAACCAGGCTGGTTAAGCAAACACAGGCTGGAGGAAGGAGCGTGGCCGCCACATCTGCTGTTCCTAGGCACGGTTACTCTAGCAAACAGATGTAGGTTCCTGGGGGTGGGGGAGATGGGAGAATGGCTAACAGTCTAACTCATGCATTCTGGCTAACAGTATAATTCTCAGGTCTTCTAGGTTGTCCCTCAGGGAGACCCGACCTTCCCTTCATTCATGGGGTTCTGGTCTGTAAACTGGCTCAAGTCTGAAAACTGACCAATGGGCCATGAATTCCCATTACTACAATCAAATGCCTTTGTTCTAGAGTCGTGTGCATGTACAGATTAAATGAAAGCTCATGTTAATCTACCTCCTCCCAGGGAACACCATTACTGGTTTGTCAGTCTCAAAGGTCCAAGGTGAGTTGTGCCATCGCGACATTCACTTTCCCTATGCTGCCATCATGGGCCAGGCCACTGTGGACATGGCTTTGCCTAGGGTGCCCATGCAGGTGGTAAGCATGCTCATCTTGCCTTTGGCAATTCTCTGCTACCTCCTGGCCCCTGCTGCTCTGGGGACCAATTAGTCCATCACATTTAATTCATCCAGATGAGCAGCAGCATCTCCCACTCTAAGAAGGGTGACAACACAGCCTTTGAACGCGCTGGCATCCCTCTCACCATTGAGCATCTTATAGTATTAGTGGAGGGCATGACTTCTGGGCCCTAAGTGAAGAAAAGCTGCCTATGGATGGCTGCAAGTCCCTATGCCCAGCTCTCCGACTCACGTCTCCCCAGGCAAATCGCAAGCTCCAGTGCCAAGAATGATAGGTCCTACTCTCATATCTGGGACAGCAGCAACAGCTGTCTCTCCTGTTCAATTCTGATGCAGCAGCTACTGTTTCTTCTGTTACTTTTAGTACCAGGGCATTTTGCAATGGTATCAGTGGGTGTGCAAGAAAAACTCAAGTTGAAATCAGTCATTGTCTTTAACTCTCACATACAAGAAGCTCCAATTATTATGAATGTGTAGAACAGATCCCTACCTTCATTGTGGGCATTTCAGGAAACTGATGCCTTGATATGGTAATGTTAGATTAATTTGGAAATCAGAGTTGTTATACAAAAAAGAATTCTTTCTAGAGATGCTCTGTTTACTGTCAAAGTTGGACACAGACAACAGAACTGCAGAGTGAGATTTTAATCTAAGCATCTATCTTAAATTGCCTACCTCCTCATATCATGAAGGAATCATACTTTGTAAGAGGTCTGCTCTATTTTTTTTCCTTCTGTAAATTTTAAGAATGACATTTGAAATGCTGTGCAGGGAATCTAAAGGAGACGTTACTAGTGGTCTTCTACCGTTTTATATATTACTCTAGTCTTCGCAATAATCACACCATAGATTTTGCTACATCAGGTCAGTTCTTTCCAGGTGGGTGAAAACAGAGGCCCACGTGTCTACCCTGCACCTGAGTGCTGAATAAGTTCTCCTACGACAGTGCTGGAGGCCTCGAGTCTGTGCAGCCTCCTGAGACCTTAAATGGCTGCTTGGCATTCATTGCCAAGATGCAAAGATTGGCTACTACCCCAGCTGTTTCCCCTTTCAAGCATGGTTTTGGATTTTATCCTGTCCTTTGCTACAAAATCAAGTGGCCCCCTGAATACTAAGAATCGAGTGGTAAATTCCAACCAGTTCCTAAACACCTGTCTGCAAGTCCTAAGTCTGAGCTTTCCCCTTGGTCAGCTTGTACAGACGCACACAGTGGCCAGGCCATGACTCCCTGACCACTGGGATTTCAGAGTGTGAAGGACGCTTGTGCAATCTGCATTTATTAAGAGATGGCGCTGAGCAGGAGAATATCAGGTTTGGTAGAATTACTGAGTTAAAGATGCAAAATAAGACATCACCATCCCCTCCCAGGAGGTCACAATCTACTGAAAAGCAGTCACAAATAGCCTATGTATGCCAGACATGTGAATCTATTGCTTTTCAGACCTGTCAGACAGCTAGATGCTCGGCCAGAGTCATCACGAGACCATTCGTAAGTCTGTGAGGGAACTATTACACAGCGAACTACTGATAGTCAATTTATAAATGCATAGACTTTTTGAAGAAAAGATTTAATAGTAGCTTCATGGAATTACAGCATTTTGTCCCAGGACACTCAGGAGACCATGTACAGAGGTTTACTGCACAGCACATGTAGACGTCTTGATCCTGTCAATCATTCTGTGTGCCAGAAATGACTTCACGCGAGTCTCCAGCTGCCCTATGCCAACCATTGGGCGAGGGGTAGGCAGAAGAGCTGCTGTGCTGGCTGCTTTTCCTATCAACCCGACACAACAGGTAGGGGCATCTGCGAAGAGGGGATCTTAACCAGGAAGATGTCTCCATAGGATTGGCCTGTGAGCAAGTCTCATGGTTGATATGGGAGGGCCCAGTCGGCTGTAGGCAGTGCCTCTGCTGGGCAGGTGATCCTGAGGTGTATAAAAAAGCAAACTGGGCAAGCCAGGAGCAAGCCAGTAAGCAGTCCCCCTCCATGGCCTCTGCCTCAGCTCCTGCCTTCAAGTTCCTGCACTGAGTTCCAGCCCTGGCCTTCCCAGTGATGATCTGTGATATGAAACTATAAGAAAAAATAAACCCTTTTCTCCCCAAGTTGCTTATGGTCATCACGCTGTTTCACAGAACAGAAACCGTAACAGGGACAACTGGTCACTAGCTAGAAAACGTGGGGAGTTGAACTCTTCAAGGAAATAAGAACCTTGCAGCTGTCGCCATTAAGATGGTGTCTGTTGAATTCAGTTCCAGGGTGACCCAGGTACCCGCCTGACCACACGACCACTTCGGCGGTGTTCCTGTGCCACTTCATTCATATCCCATCCACTACCCGAGCCTGTAGCTGGCATCTCATTGCAAAATGCAGGTAATGAGATGTTAATACCCTGTCAGGGAGAACTAATACAGAAAATGTGCCTGCCATGAATCAGAAACTAAGATACATCCTATTAGTCTGACTGGACTTGGAACAAACAGACTCTGTATCCACTGGGAAATCCACTGGGTGACCACACTGCACATGACCACAGCAACTGCCAAGCTGCTACAGTTCAGCGGAAATACAGCCTACAAAGGAAAATCAAAATGCCATGTCGGGCATGTCTCGTAAAACAATGGCTAAAAAATGTAATGCCTTACCTTTTGAGGATTTCCTAGCTGCAGCATTATATGTATATGTAGTAAGGGAATTTCACTGCTGTCCCTGTGAATTAATTTAATTTTATGAACTCTGTTCCCAGGACAAATTAGGAATTTAGGAATTTTTCTGTGAACACCGTGTATGTGTGTGTGTGTGTGTGTGTGTGTGTGTAAGAGAGAAAGAAACACATATAGTCATGGAGGCCAGAAGAGGGCCTCAGGTCCTCTGAAGCTGGAGTTACAGGTGACTGAGTCATATAGCAAGGGTTTGGGACCCAAACTCTGGTCCTCAGCAAGACCAATAAGCACTCATGATTGCTGAGCCATTTCTCCAGTTAGCCCTATCTATCATCTTCTAAGTCTTTCAGTTCTATTATTAGTTTTCAAGCTACGTTTACAAATTCCTACAAGGGTTCATACATCAGCATTCATGTTAGTATGTGGCAGGATTTCAAAAGTTTGGCTATTCTGTACACTATGCTACCTCTATACAATATCCACCAGATACAGGATGGGGGACAATACCCACTGGATATTGTAGAAAGGGGGGGTCACTTGTTGGTTCCTGGCTGCCTGGCTAGCTTAGACCCGAAATAATCACACAGAAACTGTACTAATTAAATCACTGCTAGGCCCGTTAGCTCTAGCTTCTTATTGGCTAACTCTTATATTAATTTAACCCATTTCTATTCATCTATATATCACCACATGACAGTGGCTTACCGGCAAAGTTTCAGCATGTTTGACTCTGGCGGCGGCTCCATGGCATCTCTCTGACTCTGCCCTTCTTCCTCCCAGCATTCAGCTTAGTTTTTCCCTGCCTACCTAAGTTCTATAGGTCCAAAGCAGTTTCTTTATTCATTAACAGTTACCACAGCACACAGAGGGGACTCCCACATCAGGATACAGGATGGGGAACAATACCCACTGGATACAGGATCGAGAACAATACCCACTGGATACAGGATGGGGAACACTATCCACTGGATACAGGATCGAGAACAATACCCACTGGATACAGGATGGGGAACACTATCCACTGGATACAGGATGGGGAACAATACCCACCAGATACAGGATGGAGAACAAAACCCACTGGATACAGGATGGGGAACACTATCCACTGGATACAGGATGGGGAACAATACCCACCAGATACAGGATGGAGAACAAAACCCACCGGATACAGGATGGGGAACAATATCCACTGGATACTGGGTGGAGAACAACACCCACTGGATACTGGGTGGGGAACAATATCCACTGGATACTGGGTGGGGAACAATATCCACTGGATACTGGGTGGGGAACAATATCCACTGGATACTGGGTGGAGAACAACACCCACTGGATACTGGGTGGAGAACAACACCCACTGGATACTGGGTGGGGAACAATATCCACTGGATACTGGGTGGGGAACAATACCCACCGGATACAGGATGGAGAACAATACCCACTGGATACAGGATGGGGAACACTATCCACTGGACACTGGGTGGAAAACAATGCCCACTGGATACTGGGTGGAGAACAATACCCACTGGATACTGGGTGGGGAACAATATCCACTGGATACTGGGTGGGAAACGGTATTCTCTGGATACTGTATGGACTTAAGCTGGTTATCTGTAATGTTCAGATGTGATGGAAAGAATAAAAGAGCACGATGAGTTGGAAGCATATCTTCTGTGACTATTGTTTTTAATGCTTTTCAATATTTGGGAAAGGAGTAAACATTATTCCTGTAAAGGTCATCATCTGTGGGCAGAAGCCTATGTTCCTTATCAAGTTCAAATGCCACCATCCCAGGGAGCCCTTCCTCAACCCGCAGGTGACATCTGTTCGTTGCTGGCCTTGTCCACATCCTATATCCCCCACACAATTATTTATTGTTATGTCAGGCATCACACTGAAGCCTCTCCATAGAAGACTCATATGATCCCACTGCTCTTCTCACCAGCTGAACAACAGATATGGTTCATGCAACAAAATATGCACGCTACAAGGCATGCTTTTTCTAACCTTGCCACTTTCTCCATAGAAACCAGGCAGTTCTTCTTCCATATGGACTCAGTCCTGTGCAGTCCCTGAGGAGAAAGTACGTGGTAAAATCAAGAGCCCATGCCAAGGTACACAGAAAATTGCTTTAGTAAGCAAGTGTCTGCATTCCCTGCATTTGGGAGGCTAAGGAATTACAAAGAAGCCTAGGCAACAAAGCAAGGCCCTGTACCAAACAAACAAAATGACTTGGCTTCTAATTAACAGAGAAAATAAGTCCCCAAATGGTGAGTGGGTGATGGGGGTAATTCCTCAACAGCTATAAGTTCTATACGTAGTTTTCAGTGTTCAGGAACTCTTAAGGGGATCATCCTGAAGTCTGGGAAGGTCATCCTGCAGAAGGAGAGGTCCTTCTATCTACAAGGAAATTAGCAGAAACTTCCATCTCACAGATGACTTTTCTACAGATAGAAAAAAAACAGATTCTAGACCTTGGTCAACTTTTCTGAGACTGGGAAGTTCCAAATCACGGTGAAGACCAGACTTATGAATTCTCAGCTCCTGAAGAATGTATGACCTGCTAAGCTGAAAAAAACAAAGGAGAAATGAATAAAAAGGGGGGATAAAATGAATGAATGAACAGCTGAATAAATGAACACAGCTCTGTTGTCCTGGACTTCAGCAACAACCAAGGGTCTAAAGCAAAAGCCATCAAGTATGGAGCAAGAACACTGAATACTCTTTCCTTCGTCATTTCCTGTATCACATTAAAGTGACAGCAACAGGTGAGGTGACAGCAGGGGAAGCCCGACTGGAAGACATGGTTTAACCACTACACACTAGCTATCACACAGCTAAAGGCAATATAAATAAAATAGTATTTCCCTCCAAAAGTCAATTTAATAAAATTATATTTAGTAACATTTGTTTTCTGATTTATTAGGTTTGCTCCAATTACTTACACGCAATGCACATTGCACTTTTTTTTTTTTTTTTTTTTTTTTTTTTTGGTTTTTCGAGACAGGGTTTCTCTGTGGCTTTGGAGCCTGTCCTGGAACTAGCTCTGTAGACCAGGCTGGTCTCGAACTCACAGAGATCCGCCTACCTCTGCCTCCCGAGTGCTGGGATTAAAGGCGTGCGCCACCATCGCCCGGCTCACACTTTTTTTTTTTTTATCACAGTGTTTTACCTGGTATTTGCTGCAATAGAGCTAGAACTAGAAAAAGATAGATTAAAAATGGTACATTCCTTTAATCCCATCACTTGGGAGACAGAGGCTAGCCTGATCAACAGAGAGAGTTCAAGGACAGCCAGGGCTAAGCATAGAAACCCTGTCTCAGGAAAAAAACAAAACAACAACAACAAAAAAACAAAAAAAATCAAGCCGGCCAGTGGTGATTAAGGATAAAGAGATAGGTGGATCTCTGTGAGTTCGAGGCCAGCCTTGTCTACAGAGATAGTTCCAGGACAGCCAAGGCTGTTACAATGAAACCCTTTGTCAAAAAACAAAAACAACAACCAAAAATTCAAACTGGGGTCAAATGTCACCACACCCCTTATCAATGTTTTAATAGCCTTGGTGACATTTTCTTCAATTTTTTTCCTCAATTGTAAGTAGGTCTTATAAAGAATAATGTATCCAGAGCATCTGAATTTAAAATGAGGCCAGTGAATAGTAAATGATTATTACTAATGTTTGGAGAGCCAATTTTAAAAACACACACTTATATTTAAAGGTAACTTAGGGACTGGAGATGAAATTCAGGGGAAGACTATTTGCCGACCCAAAAACAAAACTAAAAGAGATCACTTTCTCTCTGGTAAATGTCTATGATTTGATCTGGAAAACCATTTTTGCCATATTAAATCAGCATCACACATTACAGCACTTCCGCACAGCTACTGAAATCCTCGCTTCCTTTAAACCCAGCCCAACTGCTACTGCCGTGGCTCCTGAGTAGCCGCACAGGCTGGGCCTGTATTTCCACAGCTCCTACTTCTCTCTGTAGCCTCCAAATGCACATGTTCTGCCTCACATCCATTACTACTCTTGTGGAACTTCTCTATGAATGGGATCGCTCTTCCTTTTGTTACCAAATACACATATTACTCAGAGTAGAACAGAATGTATATGCTCAGGTACTACAAAATAGGGCCAGACAGGGGGAGCTGGCATAGGTACCCTCCCGCACCCTATTGCTGGGGAGCAGAGCAGAGCAAGCATCCTCACTGAGCTACAGTCCCTAGCCTAAGGACATAAGGGCATCCCTATCCTCTTTTGGCAGCAGCCTCAGTGGAAACACTTGCAGATTTAACACTTACTAGAGTAAGAAGAGGCATCTGGGCTTAGGAGCAGAGTTCAAGGAGAGCACTGGCTTAGCATGCACGAGGCTCCAGGCTCAGTGCCAGCACCACAGAAAGAGAAAGAAGAAAGAAGAGACAAGCAAGAGAATGGTGAGGAAGAGATGAAAAGAGGAAAAGAATTCAAAGGTGGGGAGGAGGGTGATGGAGAGAAGAAAGAGGAACAAACACAGAGACAACTGCCTTCCCCACCCCTTAGGTCTCCTCTCACTAGCAGGAAGGGGATGTTCATATATGCTAAGATCGGTGATTAGGAATCCTGAGCTCCTGAAAGTAGAAAAAAATGGCTCCTTTCAGTATCTTTCTTTGATCATTTTGATCACAGTATAATCAACTCTTTAAAAATGTTGGTAAAAATAGTCCATTCTGTTTATTGACCTGGTCAGGTTAAAATGTAACTGTATGCAAGGCATATGAAAATTACACATTCAGAGGAAGTATTCATAAGAATCAATTAGGATTAACTCTAATATTAATATAATTTTATGACTAATTACTAACACGAAATAATGCAAACATATGCCCTAGTTTTGTTTTTCAAAAGTGGTAAACTTGTTTCCACCACATCAAAGTGACACATACAACAGAGAAAACCAATTTTTGCCACTTGGGGTACGGTGTGTGAAGGTTATAACTGCCTCATCCTGTTACCTGCAGGACTCTTATGCTATTAGTAACAGCACTGTAAACCACATCCTGTTACCTGCAGGACTCTTATGCTATTAGTAACAGCACTGTAAACCTCATCCATGGCGTGAAAAACACTGGCATTTAGCGTGCAGGTCGGTACCTCATTGAATCTTTGCAATATCCAGACGAGTAATCGCAGAAATAAGGCACAGTCACTGTCTCCATTTCAAGGTAACCCGACCCACAGTAACCATCAGTAAGATCAGAGCTTAGAATGAAACCCGGGAGTGCTTCCAAAGCTGCTGCTCTTGGGCCCTCTCAGCAGGCATGTCCAAATGTCACCTGTCAGCCGCAAGCATAACGCACAAACAGCCGTAACTGTGGCCTAACCCAAATTCAAAATTACAAAATAATCATGAGATTTGTAATTTCTTTGTAATTTGAGTGGTTCTTGAGGATGAACCTTGTAAATGATGACATCATTTCTCAAGCCCACAGCTGATTTGCCTGTCGTGTTGAGGGATCATAAAGTTTTCCTATGTTCATCTCAAGTGCTTTTACTCCATACACAATGGCTAGGAACACTCCCTCCCAAACATCTGTACCTGGTTGCTGCAGAGTTCCGGAGCCCAAATTTGGTCCTTCTAGATCCTTGTAAAGCTGTCTTCTAGAAGAGAGTTAATGTGGCTGAAAATATAAACACATGAATAAATTCTATTAAAGAGACTGAAAAAGGAGAGTATGCTATTTTTTTCAAAGTTAACAATTTATTAAAGGAAGCTGTTTCTTAAATTACATCAGCTCTCTTATTTAAAAAATCAGCAGAGAGTCGGGTGGTGGTGGCGCACGCCTTTACTCCCAGCACTCAGGAGGCAGAGCAGGAGGATCTCTGTGAGTTCGAGGCCAGCTCGGTCTACAAGAAAAAAAAAAAAAGATCAGCAGAGGTACTCAAATATAAAATATCAAAAACTTAAAATGTAACTTTTGAATATTTTTTTAAGTTCCAAGACAGGATTTTAACAGTATGAACAATGAAACATAGCAAAAATATTTTTATTAGAGAAAACTGGTTTTTGGTTTTGGAGACAGGGCCTCACTTTGTAGCCCTGACTGACTGGAATTCACTATGTAGATGGTACTCTAGATCCGCCTGTCCCCTGCATACATATGCGATCAGGTCCAGGCACTAAGTAAAGTCTAACTGTGCTCTTCAACAAAAGAGAAGCCCATGGACTATAGAAAAGGGCAAACTTCACACTTCTATAGGCAAAGGAGACTTCTGTTTGTTTCTTCGTTGGTTACTGAGACAGGGTCCTTCAGTAGAGCTCAGGCTGGCTGCAAATTAGGAATTCTTCTAAATCAACCTCCCCAAAGCTATGTTGATAGGCACAGGCCTCTCAGCAAGAGCTTTCTTAGCTAAGACATGAAGGCGTGCATTATCTGTGAGAAAGTGTAAGGTACTGCACAGTTTGGGAGATGGCTGCAGCACATGGAACTGACTGCGGCCAAGGGGCTAAACGGACAAGGGTACAGGCTACTCACAGAAGTCAACAGTCACACTAAAAGCTACACGTTCATCACAGAAGTCATCGTGGGAGCACAGACGCAGTGAGTTCAGCCTTACCCACTAGGCCCACAGAAGTAACCCAGGAACAGTGCCCAGTGATAGTGGAGTCAAAAGCACGCTTGTGGAAGGCTAGAGGAGCACAGATTACTTCAGTCTCAAGAACGACGCCAGGGTCTGGATCACCATGACATCTTTTGCGTATTTTGGGTTTTGGTGTTTTTTTTTTTATACATATATGAAGTCTGTTATGATATGGATTACAACATTTCCCCCAAACTCATGTGTTCAAAGTTTGGTTCCTAGTTTAGCAGTTTTTGAAGGTGGACTTTGGGAGGTGACTGGATTGAGAAGATTCTAACCTTACCAAGAGATTAATTGCTGAACTCTTCGCTTCAGGAACTAGAGGAAGATGATGGAAATCTTTAAGAGGTAGAACCTAGCAGGGGTGGTGCACATCTTTAATCCCAGCACTCTGGAGGCAGAGGCAGGCATATTTCCGTGAGTTCGAGGCTAGCCTTGTCTACAAAGCAAGTTCTAGGACAGCCAAGGCTACACAAAGATACACTGTCTTGAAAAACTAGAAGAAAAAAAAAGTAGGGCCTATTTGGAGGCTCTGAGGGCATGTCCTGGAAGGATGTGTATCATGTATGCATATTTAATTTTTTGTGTATGGGTTTTTATATGCATGTTTGTCTGGAAACCACATATTTGCCTGGTATCTACAAAGGCCAGGAGAGGTACTGGATCCTTGAGACTGGAGTGAAGAGGTGGTTATGAGCAGTCATGTGGGTGCTGGGAATTGAACCCAGGTCCTTGGAAGAGTGCTCTTAACCACTGAACACCTCTCCAGCCCTAAGGGTAAACCTTATCCTTGGCCCTTTGCTCTCTCTATATCCAGGCTGCCAGGAAGTAAGCAGTTCAGCTCCACCATGTGCTCCTAGTGAAATGTGGTTCCTGACCATGGACCAAAAGCACAGGCCTAAACCATGAGCTGAAGTAAGTCTTCCTCTGCTTAAACCATGAGCTGAAGAAAGTCTTCCTCTGCTTAAAGGTTTTACTCGGGCATTTCGTCACAGCAACACAAAGCTGACTAACAGATCACTGATATAAAATTTCATAAAATAATTATCCTCCTACATGAAATAGGGAGTCTTTTTCTTGTTGTCTATACAGCTCTGCTATTCTGCCCTTCGCCATCCTATGCCATTCCATATTTCAATGTTAAAAAAAATGTTAAAATGACTTCACCCGGTTTTGAAAAGAGCTGACCTAGATGAACCCTGTAGTAGCAGAACTAGAGAAAAACTCCTAAGGAAGAGTAAAGAGGTAAGCAGGATCTGCCAACAGGACTGACAACCTGAGGACAGACATACCATGTATCAACTAACAGGAATTCTCTAGGGGCTGAGGAGATGACTCAGTAGTTAAGAGTGCTTCCTGTTCTCCCAGAGATCACTGAAGCTCACAGCTGCTTGCACTCCAGGTGCAAGGGATCCAACGCCTTCTTCCAGTTCTTCCAGTCTCTTTGTGCACCCCCCACCACACACACACTCACATTTAATTTCCTAGATTTAGCAACGTTGGACAAATCACTACGTCACATAATAATACAGATGGTGAAACAGACCATTTGGTAAAGCTCGGAGCACAGAGAAACAGCCCTCGTTACTACAGTGCAGATGACATGATACAGGCTGGGCTTTGCTGGGAATTCTCATAGAAGTTTTGATGAAGGTAATGCCAACGATAAAAGACTCCACGTAATTATATAACAATGAATTTGTATATTAGCACTTTTCCAATCACAACATAATGCATTGAGAGTCACTGTGCTAGTATGCACATATAATACATATAATCCCTGCCTGCCCTTAGGAAGATCAGGAGTTCAAGGCCATCCTCAGCTGCATGGCCAGTTCAAGGCCAGCCTGTAAGGGGGATAAAGTTAACCAATATTAAAATTGGAGTACCACCATTCTGACTTTGCTTTTACTGGAGACATGAGAATTTCATAAAACATTGATAATGATGATTCATAAGCAAAGATTTCTTCTGCCATTTTAAAAATAAACTAATACTATAGAATGATGCATGCCTGGCAAGGAGAATCTGAACTAGGGGAAAAAAAGTGTTTAATATCAGTTATGCTCTAAATTGGCTTCCAGACATCCCTGTTTTCTGCACAGGAAGGCGGTGTTTCTGGAGGGCGTGGGGGAGGCTGATATCCATATTGGGACAAGTCTTCAGAGTGACAGTGTCATAGCATAAGTAGGCCCGTGTTAGGAGATGACAGTGGGATGTCCTAACTGTCACGTCACTGGTTCTGCATCCCCCATCCGCTGTAGGGCTATGACTTGGCTCACGTATATATTCCATAGTAAGCTCTGCAATCTGCATCCCCCATCCGCTGTAGGGCTATGACTTGGCTCACGTATATATTCCATAGTAAGCTCTGCAATCTGCATCCCCCATCCGCTGTAGGGCTATGACTTGGCTCACATACACATTCCACAGTAAGCTCTGCAGAATAGTTTCCGCTGCGTTTCCTCATTCAGTTTAAAGTAACAAAAATAACATTAAGGGATCTCAGGATTTGATCTACAGGCCAAAATGAGAAAGGAAGACATCTCATTTCTCTCAGTGGAAGCTCCGTCCCTCTCTCTGCCTTCCAAGCTCACAGCTGGACACTCAGGAGCCAACAGCTGGACACTCAAGAGCCAGCGGCTAAACACTCAGGGGCTAGCATTCCAGTGTTTGACTAGTAAGTCTTCAAAGTCAAATAAATATCAAGTAGGATCATCTGTTGTATGGTATTTTTTATTCCAGCTGTTTTCTTAAACATGCATCACTTAATAATCTGTTTCTAAGTTACCCTTGTTTGAGACAGACAATTGATTTTGTATTTTGCCAGTTTTCTCTTATACTGTTAGTAACAATGTAGTCAAAGACTAGCAGACAAAAGATAGTCTTTCTAACATGACAAATCCTCACAGAGAACAGGATCATTCATGTCCCTGTACAAAGAATAAACTGTACATAGACTGTTGGTGAGATAATCAGTGTACTAAGTGTGTCCGCAACTCAGTGTGGCATACATTACCTGGGAAGAAGTGACGGGAAGGGAGCTAAACTGATTAGAGAACACATGTTCATTGGCCAAGTTACTGCCTGTATTCCCAGTGAGTGGAAAACAAGTATATAAAAGAACAAAACAGAAAACAGTACTGTGAAGACAGGAAGATCAAGCTCTCAGGTGATGTGGAGAGCCATAAGAGCTAATAGGCTAGTTAACCAGAGGCTTCTCCATACTGAGAATTATCTATCAGAAGTGGTGCCAGCCCTCGGGAGGCAGAGGCAGGAGGATCTCTGTGAGTTTGAGGCCGGCCTGCTCTACAAGAGATAGTTCTGGGACAGGCTTCAAAGCTACAGAGAAACCCTGTCTCATAAAATCAAAAAGAAAAAAAAAAAAAAGTGGTCCCAGTAAAAAATAAATGGGGGAAGGTTCTTCAGAGAAGTCTGAGAGCTGTTTTTAAATTCAATTCCATGAGATCAGCTCTAAGCCATGCTTGAGGAACATAATGTGTAAGAAGTTTCCTTGTGATACATAAAGTGATGCTACTGACAAGTTCTCCCACCTGAGACACTCTCCTCAAGGAGGCAAAGAAAGGGTTAAGCAAAGTGGTAGGAGGGGCACACTTTATGGTAGCAGTGTGTGAGGAAGCTGCTGACAAAGTAAATGCCTGTTTGCTGAGTAATTTCAAAGTGTCATTCTCTTTGGGGGGTGGTGGCACTGCCTTTAATCCCAGCATTCAGGAGGCAGAGGCAGGAGGCTCTCTGTGAGTTCGAGGCCAGCATGGTCTACAAAAACTAGTTCCAGGACAGGCTCTGTAGAAACCTGCAGAGAAACCCTATCTCAAAAAATTAAAAAAAAAAGTATCATTATCAATCTTTTATTAGTGCTAACCTTGAGTTACAGATAATATAAGTATATAAAATAATAAAACACAGCCTCAATTGTCACGTGCATTGGTTGTAATTCAGCTCCTCTTGAATGAGATGCTGGCAGTCCCAAATGGGAACAGTAGAACAAGAACACCTAACCAGCTGGTGGTTGCACTGGGTGCTTATAAACAGGCTGACAGAACTACACAGAAGCCGCAGCCAGCACACCCCCCAAGGAAGCAGTGCTGCCTGATGCGTAGGAAAAGCAGTGCACCGACTTGTGGGGCACAAGTGGTTTCCAATTTCACGGTGAGGTTTGGGGTGAATCAGCCCACAGCAGTGCTTTAGCAACCATCTTCAGATTACTGATAATACCGATAATAAAATGTTGTCTCCAAGTGGGAAAACAGTCAACATAAACTATAAATGTTACGTTGCTACATGAATGGCATGAACTGACACAAAAAGCCATTTAAGATTTAATTTCTTATACATCCGATGTTTAAATAGATATTAACAGATGTGGTAACTATTAACCTATTAAAGACTCTACAACATTAATTCATGAACACAGTAGACCCACTTGACCTCCATCTGTTTCCTCTTGGGAATCCTTCCATATACATTTGCTGTAATATAGACAACATTGCAGTTTGGCCACCATTCACTAGCACCTGTTAGCTCAAAAATGTATGGGGGGACACCCAATACATATTAACTCAGGTTAGGTTAGCAAAGCTGATGTTAAAAGCACACACTTCGGTGTCAGACTGATATTTAATAGTCTATTATGATTTCAATTTCCTGGAGATCATCATATTGTTAGGAGGAGGTCACCACGTGGAGACACGTGTTCCTTCCAGATAAGGAACGCTAGAAGGATCAAGAGGGGCAACTGATCTGCATTCCCACATGGACCGCCTTGTTTTCAGCCTTGAACAGAAGGACCTCAACTCCTCTCTGCCACCCTGATACTCGTATTCCCCATCTCCCGTTCCTGGACAATTCTGGTTTGTAATAATGCCAAGTAAACTTTGAAAACAGCAGTATCTAGTAACCATTCTAGTCTCAGAACTGTTAAAACTGAAATTAAATATGACAACCTCCTATGGACAAAAGCTAATTAATAGAGTTCCCTCCATCTATACCTCTAGAGTAATAGCCTCTTAATGCTTGAACATGAAGTGTCTGTGACCTACTTTGCTTAAGTAAAAGACCTCCGAGGAGACACCTTTCCTAAAACAGGTTCTTCTCCATCAGTGTCTTTCTCCAAGTCCTCTACAGTCAAGGGCTGATGGCTGCTTAGATTTGTCTGGCTCATACAGAACCTCTAATAGAGATCGCTGAGTATCATAATATAACATCACACTTGTCATCCCTATGACTCAATGTCAGAGGAAATTAAGAAGCTATTGCAAGGTACAGTAAGCCAGGGTCAGTGGGACTGCTGCAGGATCCAAATCCATCAGTACCACACGCTGTGAAAGCTCAAGTCACTTGTAGAAACTGCCACATACATACGGGCAAGGCACATTCTCTTTTTCCTTTCAATCAGACACAGAAGAAACACCCGATGTAAATGCTGTGTGGATGGCTGCTATCCCTCCGGGCTTGGCACCTGGAACCTCAGTACTAGAGAGGCTGAAGCAGGAGAATCCTATTAAGTTGTTTCAGGACAGTCTGGTCTAGTGAAAAAGAGTGAAATCATGTCTTAAAAGAAAAAAATTTTAAAAAGTTGCTATTCTTTCTTGTTTAGTTAATATTGATCACCCCACCCCCAAATTCTGTATGTTCAGTAAAGGTGTTTTCTTAATATTTCCAATTCAAGGTTTGTTAAATCTGTGGTTGCAGAATATAAGGCTATGGTAAGTTGGTGCTATAGTTTTCTGAGTGTATTCATAGCGGTTATCTATGAGAAAGATTCTGGTCTCTTCATTAGCTGTGGTGAATTAAACCGAGAAATCCTGATAGGTTCATCTCTTACCTATAGAGGACGGTGACATCTGCCATAGTGGCAGAGCTGCAGGCCTCAGAGAGCATACAAGTATTTCCTCCCTAATAGGACTTTTTCATTCCACCACAAACATCACCTTCCACAGTCACCGGGTTGTTAAAAACACAACTCACCTCTGCACTCTCAATTCATATTCCATTTTCAGAGCATTTGCCACTTCCTCCCTGGCAAAATTATCAAATGTCGGTTGCTCATCATCTCTGACAAGAACGTAGGCACCAGAGAAAAGTGATCTTTTTTATTCATTGCTAAACCCTGAACACCTAGGATAGCATCTGCTATGAAAGAAAAATGCCACACGAGTCCAAGTTCTGCACAAAGTCCCTCTAAAGGAAATTAGGTTTCGGTCTAACGTTCACTCAGTTAACAAATACCTTGTAGGTAATGAGAGGGGCAGACACAAGAGAACCACAGACCATAGGCGTGGGTAACATCAGATAGCCATCGGGGCTACAAAGCCAAGAAGAGGCTAAGGGGTTGGAGAACCAGAGCAGGGGCTATTTTAGATGGGAAAGTTCTCTCTGAAGTGACGCAGTTGTTTCAAGACGTAAAGTCCCCCGCCATGTGACCGTGGAACAAATGCGCGGGCTCTGGAAAGGTGGTCCACTCAGGAAGCCCCCGAACAGCAACAGGGCCTGCATGGTGGGGGTGTTGTGTTTAAGGCGTCATTTTAGTGGCTCTGGTAACATGCATGGGGCAGCTATTAATGAGAAACAAAGACGTTGTGTGTCATTTCCTCCAATGCATTCGGATTCTCCAAGCCGTTATTCTAGTCCAGACACCGAATGTCTGTGCCAGCACATCGCACCAGACTACAAGCACAGAAGTAACGGCATCCTTAGGCACTCTCCACAGCAGCCCCTGGCCTTGGAGTGAAACTGGCTTAACTACACACTGTGCCCAGTAAGGTGACAGACTTTACTGGGAGGATGCAAACACAGAGGAACCCAACGACCGGTAAACAGCTAACACAGAACATAGGCGATCTTGCAAAGTTCCACGGGGCTGTTTGTGAACTCGATCACTTTTATTCGGCTCTGACAGGGATTAAGTCACTAAGCAACGGTTCTGGCAGGAGGGAAGGTATTCTAAAGAGAGACACTTGTGCGTCTCCCTTTCAGCTTAGCAGGCTTTGGATGCCAAGGAATTGTGAGTGGAGCTGAGACAGGATGGGTCGACACCTGGACCGGGCCCACTCAGGCACATCTCCTGTCCGCTATTTCCACCTCACCTTCAAGCTAGGACCTCCCAACGTGGCCACATTGACTGGTTTTCACTACCGTCTCAAGTGGCCCTAATGTAACCGAGCACCAGTTCAGGGCAACCGCCGGGTGTGCTAGAAAGCATCTTTCTTTTGTGTCCTTCCTAACAGTCTGGGTTAAATCTTTACCTTGTAAAGAACAACGGCAAAAAGTCGGCTCTAAATCTGTCTTCAACTCAGGCGGAAGTTCCATCTCCGCCAAGGAGGGGCCCGGGGAAAGTTTGCAGCCTCTAAACCCCTCCACTTCCGGCCCAACAGGCAGCCGGCTGCGAAATCTCAGGGCAGCTCCAGGCCTTGCCCGCCATCCCTCCACCTCGCGACCTACGGCCTGAAGCCTGAGGCGCCACTGAGTCAGCGAGGAGGTTCCGGGCGGAAAGATCGGGAAACGGGACTACTAGCTCCCCTCGTGCTGGGAAGGGATGGAGACCCGAGGGTGGGGGTGGGGGTGGGGGCAGCGTCCACCTTCCCCCACCCCTCCCAGCTGGAACCGGGAATCCCAGAGTCGCTCCCTGGCTTGGGGCGACGCCAAAAATGGACCCTCGGCCAGGCCTGCACGCATGCGCAGTGCTACGTGGTCCCAGGGCCCCCGGGAAGGGACGTGAACCCAGAACCGCGCCACCGACCTCGCCCACGGGGCTCGCGCGTGCGCGCCGCGGCCCCGGCCTGCGGCCTAGGTGGGATGGAGGCTCGCCCAGCCCCCGCAGCGGCTGCGCACGGGGCCGGCGCTGGGTGAGGCCTCCGCCCGGCCTTCGCCCCCGGGCCCGCCGCCCACACGCACGCTTACCTCCACGCCGCGCCGCTCCCGGCAGCGGGGACTGCGCGGCCGGGGCCGGGAACATTCGAGACTTGGCGCCTCCCCCTGAAGCGGCCCGGCTCGGCGGGTAGCGCGCGAGTTCAGCCCTGAGTGCGGGGAGGAGGGGGCCGCGGGGTGGGAGGGAGGAGAGTGCAGGGGATCGAGGGGAGGGGGGTACCAGGAGGAGGGAGGGGGGGGGCTGAGCGCGGCACCCCTCCTCCCTATGCAGCCTGGCCTCGGTGGGGACCCTGTGCCCAGGGAACCTGTGCCTCTCCAGTTTTAGGTGTTACAGGCGTTCATTTTCTGCTTTCTGAGAAACAAGAGCTTGCGTGCTTGCGCTAGTCCGGTCTTACCAGATCCATCCTGGAGGCCGACCTCATTGTGTGATAGTCGAGGACTCAAATCGGTCCGATTTTAAAATGAAGGAAATTCTGTCACTTGGGACGATGTGGAATGAACTTGAAGGATGTTAAGCAGAGTAGGCCCCGGAAGAATACTTACGGATCTCATAGAAGGACCGTTTAAAAAGTCTCACCAACAGAGTAGGGTGGTGGTTCCTGGGACTAGGGAAAAAGGGACACTGATCAAATTTCAGTTAGGAGGCGCAAGCTCAAGAAAGCTACTGTACTACATAGTGGCTACTGTTACCAACTGTGTGCACCAAAAATTGCTGAGATAATACATAATTTTGGAACAGAGTCTCCCTAATAGCCCTTTAGGCTCACACTCCATAACTTCTCTCCCCTCCTCTCCCTGCTTGATTTTGCCATCAATGCAGTGTATACATATATCAAAAAATTGTGCACTATAAATATATATTTGATTTTCAGTTGAAAATTTAAAAGAATATCTTATTTTCTTGACTTCAGTTTTTCATGGTACATGATCTCTACCCATTTAGAGGGGAGATAGTGGCGATCAGGCCCATTAGAGGTGAGGCTGGGGCTCGTCATCCCAACCCTCCTCTTTCACCCGTTGATCATGTGGTTTCTTTCCAGATGAGTTAGAAAAGTAGGTCAAATGATAAGGGCCTTAGCAGTGTAACTGCTGCCTGGGCCACAGAATCCGCAAAGGGCTTTTTGGAAGAGGCCGCATGATTCTGTCTTGAGTAAGTTTACTGACTGGAGGCCAAAAGCTCAGTGTAAGTAGAATACCAACAGTCCTTGAATTTAGTACAAAAGCGAACTGGGCTTACAGAGAGGAAAAAATGGATTCCGGATAATTTTAGAAAATGAAATCAAGACTAGATGTGGAAGGTCAGAAAAATATTTGAACCCCGTGTCATATGTTTCTATGGACTCCAGATTTTCACCTTTAAAACGGAGCAGGAGTCTGTTTAATATTTCACATAATATGCTGATAGCAAGCCCAACAAAGATTACATATATTTTTAAAAATCGTTAGTAGAATATCAACAAATAAGATCCAACAATAAATAGCATGATGAATATAGGGATTATTTCAGTGGTATAAAAATGACACAATGGTAGCTGGGCGGTGGTGGCGCACGCCTTTAATCCCAGCACTCAGGAGGCAGAGGCAGGTGGATCTCTGTGAGTTCGAGGCCAGCCTGGTCTACAAGAGCTAGTTCCAGGACAGGAACCAAAAGCTACAGAGAAACCCTGTCTCGAAAATAAAAAAAAAAAAAAAAAAAAAAAAAACCCACAATGGTAAGAGTTGTTTTTTGTTTGTGTGTTTGTTTGTATTTTTTAACGTGGTCCTGTTGTCCTGGAACTCACTCTGTACACCAAGCTGGCCTCAAACTCAGATATCAACCTGTCTCTGCCTCCTAAGTGCTGGGATTAAAGTTATGTGTCACCACTGGCTGTTTTGTGTAAGGCTTGAGTGCTGTGGAATAATCCTTCTGTACACTGTGAAGATGTGTCGCTCTCATTGTTAATTAGCTGATTGATTGGCTAGGCAGGATTTTCAGGGCAGAGAGGGCATTGGGAGAAAGGAGGGCAGAGTCACAGAGAGGCAGAGAGAAGCAAGATGAATGTGCTATGTTGAAGAAGGCGTTGTTATTGGGAAAAGGGTAGATAAGAAATATGAGTTAATCTAAAATGTAAGGGTTAGTTAGTAACAAGCCTGAGCTATGGGCCAAAGGTTTATAATTAATAATAAGTCTTTGTCTGGTTATTTGGGAGCTACTGCTGGGACACAGAAACTCTGCCTACACTTGAGGAAGAAGAAAATATCCAGACCCCTCCCAGAAAGTGACATTTTCATTTCTTCTTCTGGTCTACTTCATTGTGTGTGTCTGAAACAACAAGATGTCCAGAAAACAGTCAAGTAGCCTCGGTCACTGGAGCAAATGTTCTTTAAATTTTGCATAAACTTGTGGTCAGTGGTGTGCTCTAAAGTGGCCTTTCCCAGGATTGTCAGAGCAGGGACGAAGATGGAGGGTTGGGTGCTAGCATAGGCATGAGCAGAGCAGGTTCCCAGGCAGTCGGGTCTTGGTTCTGAGTATTATAGGATGTTTACTGTACCATGTTGTAGCCTGATTTACACCAACTTAACATCACAGCCAGGTTCATGTCCTCCACTGAAACAATGGTCCTGTGCAGGCTTTGTTGCTTCTGTGCTTCTAGAGACTTCGGACAAGAGTGGACCAGTATGGGGGAGGGAGGGGGAGGGAGAAAAATATAGCTCGATTAAAAAAACAAAAAGAGAGGACCAGCAAGGCTGGGCTTCCCTAGATCCTCTGGGCAAACATCACCCAAACTGTTCCCACTTTGGGCCTGGCCTAACTGTACTTTGAAACCTTCAGGAAATGAACTGAAAAGGTATCAGAAATATTGGTAGAGTTTAGTGATGTCCAGTTATGAAGGCAGCTTATAATCAGTGAGGACAGCTTAAACTACCAAGGGACAAGGCAAAGCAAGAGGCAAGGAGTCTATTCTAAGATTAATCCACAACTCTAATGGAATGCTAGCAAAAAGTCGAGGATTACTTAAATATTTAAAAAAATGTAACTGAAAGCGCAGCGTGTTAGAAGAAGACCTTTTCTGGAAGACAGTCTGCTCTCCAACTTAACCTTCTCACCGTAGGAATTTAGTATCCAGACATGAAGAAAGCCGGTCACAGCAGCATTGTAAGTAGAGAACATGGCGTCTGCACATTCAGGCTGCCATCACCCAATGCCTCAGTGTGGATAATTTATAAACAGACACATATCGCTTACATTTCTGGGAGACGAGAAGCCCAAGGTAAAGGCATGGGAAGACCTGGTGTCTGCTAAAGGCTTGCCTTCTGCTTGATAGACAGCACCTTGTTTGTCTCCATGTTGTGGAGAGGCTAACACTGTCCTGAAGTAGCTCAATGGGTGAGGGAGGTCCCTGGAGTCTAACCCCTTTCCCTAGGACTTCAGCACTTCTGAAAGGCCCACTCTGTAATTTTGCCACATTGGGTATCAGGTTCTAACATACGAACAGAAAAGAACACAGCCATTCACTTAATAGCACTCGGGAAATAAGCTCTATATTCTATAGCCCACTGTTTGGGTAAGTTAAAGCATGGCAGGTTAAAAGCTGCACTTTTTAAAATTAGGAAAAAGTAAAAATATGTTAACATAGAATAATTGAAAGGAAAATAAAATTGGGACCCATTCAGCAGTCAGTACTTTGTGACCCACCTTGTTTTATTAGTGCTTTTTTCTTTTAAAGGTTTATTTATTATGGACACAATGTTCCTCCTGCATGTACCTCCATGCCAGAAGAGGGCACCAGGTCTCATTACAGATGGTTGTGAGCCACCATGTGGTTGCTGGGAATTGAACTCAGGTCCTCTGAAAGAGCAATCAGTGTTCTTAACCTCTGAGCCATCTCTCCAGCCCCCTAATTAGTGCTTTGTTTTCACCATCACCATCCTCATATGAAGCATCTGATCTATCTACCAATATTTCAGAGAATGTCTCTAAAAGATAAAGAATCTTAAAAATTCTTATCAAATACATCACTCCCACAAAACCACCACGAGTTCCATGGCCATGCAACACTCTTTCAGAGTCTAAGTCCTCCAGTCCTTAGTACCACACTCTCTCAGCAGTTTGACTTGGGATGGAAATGAAGTTAGGCACAGATATTGGGTTATAATCCTTACATCTTCCTTTTAATTCATAATTTCCCTTTCCTACCTCTTCTGTTTCATGCAGTTTATTAACTGAAAAACTTAAGTTACTTGCCCCGAGTACACGCCCTCCTTACTCACCATAAATAAGTAGATTTAGAGTCTTGATAGGATTTATTTTTGCTTAGTGTTCATTCGTTTTTCCCTCCCTCCCTCCCTCCCTCCCTCCCTCCCTCCCTCCCTTCTTTCCTCCTTTTCTTTATCTCCCTTCCTCTCCCTTTCTTTTTTTTATATCTCTCTTCTTTATTGATTTTTATTGAGCTCTACATTTTTCTCTGCTCCCCTCCATACCTCTTTCCTCCCCCCTTCAACCTTCCCCCAAGGTCCCCATGATCTTTCTGGCAAGCTAACTTCTTAGGCAGTAGTGACCCCTTCCATCAGTGACATGTAAGTAGGGTTGTTTCTTTCTCTAACACTGGTAATTGTTTACGCTCAGTCTGTGAGGTCAGTAGATGCTGGGAATGGTAGTATTGAATTGTTTCTGATTGACTTATGA